GCAACAACAACAGCAGCAGCAACAACAGCAATAACAACAGCAGCAACAACAGCAGCAACAATAACAACAGCAGCAGCAACAGCAGCAACAACAATAACAACAGCAGCAGCAACAACAGCAGCAGCAACAACAATAACAACAACAGCAGCAGCAGCTACAACATCAGCAGCAACAACAGCAGCAGCAACAACAACAGCAACATCAGCAGCAGCAACAACAGCAATAACAACAACAGCAGCAACATCAGCAGCAGCAACAACAGCAATAACAACAACAGCAGCAGCAATAACAACAACAGCAGCAACAACAACAATAACAACAGCAACAACAACAGCAGCAACAACAACAATAACAACAACAGTAGCAGCAACAACAACAACATTGGGAGAGACTGACGCAGTCGTCCTCATTGCAAAGTGACTAAAACATCTCAAAGATGGCGGCGCCTCGTGGCCACGCACAGAGCTGGGACGTCACCAGGCGGGGAGCGGTGGCGCAGCGGTTGGCGCGGTGGTGGCTCTCTGTGTGTGTGGTAGCTGTGTGCGTGTGTGGTAGCTGTGTGTGTGGTAGCTGTGTGTGTGTGTGGTAGCTGTGTGTGCGTGGTAGCTGTGTGGTAGCTGTGTGTGTGTGTGTGGTAGCTGTGTGTGTGTGTGGTAGCTCTGTGTGGTAGCTGTGTGTGTGGTGGCTCTCTGTGGTAGCTGTGTGTGTGGTAGCTCTCTGTGGTAGCTGTGTGTGTGGTAGCTCTGTGTGGTAGCTGTGTGCGTGGTAGCTCTGTGTGTGTGGTGGCTCTGTGTGGTAGCTCTGTGTGGTAGCTGTGTGCGTGGTAGCTCTGTGTGTGTGGTGGCTCTGTGTGGTAGCTCTGTGTGGTAGCTCCATCATGTCCACTTCTGCGAGCCGCCCCCCTCGTCATGGCCACGGCGTCGGTGACGTCACCCGGCGACGTCACCGACGTCATCGCGGCTCCGTGCAGAGGAGCACGGCACGGATTTTTCCGGCCGCCCTGGATAATGCTGCGATGTGTCATTCGTAGATTTGTATTACATGTCCATATACACCGTGTGTCCACAGGCATATATTACTACACGGCCGTCTGACTTCACGCGGAGTGAACGGTGAAGACCCGGCCGCTTCGAGCGCGAAGATTTCGGCCGCCGTGTGTCCGGCCAGAGCCACCGGGGGACAGCTGCCACTGGGGGTGCCCCTAGGCGACAACTACAGACCAGCAGCAGCAGCAGCAGCATCGCCACCCCGACTGTGGAGCTACAGGGAAGCGAATTCAGCCCTCGAAGAGACGATCGTGCCAGCGCTGCGTATACCAAACTAAGAAATGTTAATTAAATAATAAAAATAATATGATGATTTTATTAATATATAACTCGGTTTATGATTTAACCTAAAGGTCCCGTTGCAGGTCATGATGTAAGTAGGGAATTTCTGCTATTCCAACACTCGCCCACCCACTCACCCACCCACTCACCCACTCACTCACCCACTAACCCACTCACTCACTCACCCACTCACCCACTCACCCACCCACTCACTCATCCATCCACTCACCCACTCACTCACTCACCCACTCACTCACCCACCCACTCACTCACCCATCCACTCAACCACTCATCCACCCACCTACCCGCTCACCCACACACTCGCCCACAAACTCCACCACTAACCCACCCACTCACCCACCCACCCACTCACCCACCCACTCACTCAGCCATCCACTCAACCACTCACACACTCACCCACCCACCTACCCCTCCACCCACCTTCCCACGCCCACCCCCACCCACACGGCTTCCCATAACTCACAGAGCTGACGGATTGTATTCTTATAATTAGTTCATATTTATTTATTTATCCCGCTCTTCCCAAAAATGTTGGCCAGATCAACTTCTGTGGAAAGCGAGATACGTCAAAATAAGCAAGAAACACCAAGACAATGCAATTCCACTCTTTTGCACTATTTAAATACAATAAATATAACAAAAGAAAGGACTTTTTGACTGAACTATTTTTTCAGGTAACGTCAGGGGGCATTGTCAGGGTCGGTATCGAACCCACGATCTCCTGCACACCAGGCGAGGTAGTTAACATCCCCTAGCCACCATGGCGACATGGTGGCTAGAGACACTGAGAGCCTGGGCTCGAACCCAGGCTCTCAGTGTCTCTGACACGGCCATTGTGAACCCACATAGAAAGAGACACCCAGGCCCAGGGTTTCTGTGTCTCTGACACGGCCATTGTGAACCCACAGAGAGAGACACACACCCAGACCCAGGGCTCGAACCCAGGGTCTCAGTGTCTCTGACACGGCCATTGTGAACCCACAGAGAGAGAGACACCCAGACCCAGGGCTCGAACCCAGGTTCTCAGCCTGTGCTGGCTGGCAGCAAATTGTCGTGGCCGCGGTGTCATCCGTGGGGCGATCTGAGCAGCACAATGGAGGTGTGGAGGGACACTTCCCGTGGTGCCAGAACACCCCCCCCCTGCCCCCCCCCTCGAGCGGAGAATTCCCACGTCACTGACGCCACGCGAAGCCCCCAGGGTCGGAGCGATGCAGTGGACAGAGTCGCCCATGGACTGAGCGGTAGGGTCAGTCGTAGAGTCATCCATAGAGTCAGCTGTATACTCACTCACACACATACTCATACATACACTCACTCACACACTCACTCAAACACTCACCCACACATACACTCATCCAAACACTCACTCACACACTCACTCACACACTCATTCACCTATATACTCACCCACACACTCACTCACTCACCCACACACTCACTCACACACTCACCCACACACACTCATCCATACACTCACTCATCCACACACACACTCACTCACACACTCACCTATATACTCACCCACACACACACTCATTCACATACTCACTCACATACTCACCTGTACACTCACCCACACACACACACTCATCCAAATACACACTCACACACTCACTTATATACTCACCCACACACTCACCCATACACTCACTCACACACTCACCTCTACACTCACCCACACACACACTCACCCACACACTCACTAACACACTCACCTATATACTCACCCACACATACACTCATCGATACACTCACTCACACACTCACCTGTACACTCACCCACGACTGCCTCCATCTGCCCAGTAGCGTCCTCCACAGAGGCTGATCTTCACACCGCTGGTACCAGTCATTGGCAAGTCCACTCAGCTCCACATCTTCCTGTACCACATCACTCCATCTCTTCTCTAGTCCGTGCCGCGCCCGTTTAGCCCCCTCGATCCGGCCGAAAAAAAGCTGTTTAGGCATGCGGTGGCTGGGCATGCGGGCTACATGACCCAGCCAACGCAGCCTTGCCTGCCGGAGGAGCTCACCGATGGGACTTTGCCCAGATATTTCAAGGATTTGTGAGCTCCTCACACAATCCAGCCTGGTTAAACCCAGGATGGATCGTAGGCAGGCCAGCCTAAATGTTTCTAACCGGCGAAGATCCATTAGGGGGGTCCACGTTTCGCAAGCGTAGAGAAGGGAGGGAATGACTGTGGCCGAGAAGACCTGAAGCTTCGTGCGGAGCGACAGACCAGGTAGCTTCCACACCGCGTTACGCAACCGATGAAAAGATATTGCCGCTCGACTGATTCGGAGCGAGACCTCTGCTTGCTGTTAAACCGGAGCCGGTCATGAGCACACTGCCCAGGTATGGGAAACTCTCCACTCTCTCCACCCCATCACCAATTGGGAGTTGTGGGGGTAGAGTGTCCTATGGTACACAATACCCAGGCACACACACACACAGACTCACACTCACACACAGACTCACACACATAGACTCACAAACATAGACTCACACTCACACACATGACTCACGCACAGACTCACACACAGACTCACACACACACACATAGACTCTCACACACACATAGACTCACACACACACATAGACTCACACTCACACATAGACTCAGACTCACACACATAGACTCACACACACAGACTCACACACACACACATAGACTCTCACACACACACATAGACTCTCACACACACATAGACTCACACACACAGCCAGAGACTCACACACACACACATAGACTCACACACACACACATAGACTCACACACACACATAGACTCTCACACACACATAGACTCACACACATAGACTCACACACACACACATAGACTCACACACACACACATAGACTCACACACACACACATAGACTCACACACACACACATAGACTCACACACACACACATAGACTCTCACACACACATAGACTCACACACACACATAGACTCACACTCACACATAGACTCAGACTCACACACATAGACTCACAAACATAGACTCACACACACACATAGACTCACACTCACACACAGACTCACACACACACACATAGACTCTCACACACACATAGACTCACACACACACATAGACTCACACTCACACATAGACTCAGACTCACACACATAGACTCACACACACACACATAGACTCACACACACACACATAGACTCTCACACACACATAGACTCACACACACACATAGACTCACACTCACACATAGACTCAGACTCACACACATAGACTCACACACACACACATAGACTCACACACACACACATAGACTCTCACACACACATAGACTCACACACACACATAGACTCACACTCACACATAGACTCAGACTCACACACATAGACTCACACACACAGACTCACACACACACACATAGACTCACACACACACACATAGACTCACACACACACACATAGACTCACACTCACACATAGACTCAGACTCACACACATAGACTCACACACACACACATAGACTCACACACACACACACAGACTCACACACACACACATAGACTCACACACACAGACTCACACACACACACACAGACTCACAACACTCACCCGTGTACTCACCCTTTACACTCACCAATGCAGCCGTCACTATATCTCTATACACGTGAACTTCAAATTGGATTGTTGTCTCTTTTTATTTTTATTTAAATCAAAAACACGCAACGATATCGACTCCGTGGGCAGCCGTGTTCACTTGGGAACGCTGCGAGTGAGGGCGTCCCACACATTGAGAGGCATGGACAGCAAATAGAGACAACCAGACCCAGGGCTCGAACCCAGGGTCTCTGTGTCTCTGACACGGCTATCGTGAACCCACTCAGAGAGAGACATCCAGACCCAGGGCTCGAACCCAGGGTCTCAGTGTCTCTGACACGGCTATCGTGAACCCACAGAGAGAGACACCCAGACCCAGGGCTCGAACCCAGGCTCTCAGTGTCTCTGACACGGCCATTGTGAACCCACTGAGAGAGAGACACCCAGACCCAGGGCTCGAACCCAGGGTCTCAGTGTCTCTGACACGGGCTAGGGATTGAACCCAGCGGTGACGGCGTTGGGGGCCGACTCATGTCCCGTGGCTGCTGCTGATGCTACTGCTGCTGATGCTGCTGCTGCCTGCTGCTGGTCACGTTGGGAAGCCTCCAGTAGACAAGGCACAGCTGCAGGAACACGGAGCCGACAACAGGGGGCAGAATGTCACGTCAAAGTCATTAATCGGCAAATATTTCCAACGTAATGACTCGTTACGAGGGGAAAGTGGAGTGGAACGCTGTTCAGGATTTGGGGTCGTGAAATTATTTTTGGCGTGATGCCTTGCTGGGAATTCATTCATTTCGTTCATTGATTTTTTTTCACACATCTCGTTCATTATTTAATTCACTTCGTTCATTCTTTCGCTGATTTCGTTCATTTTTTCATTCTGTTCGCTCATTCGGTTCATTTTTTCACTCATCTCGTTAATCATTTCATTCATTAAATCCTTTATTAAATCCTTTATATTAAGTTCACTTGCTTGCTTGCTTGCGCGCTTACGACCGTGCAAATCTTTCGGTCGTTTTTTAACCCACTTCCCGTGATCCAACCGGGCTGACATTTTGCACACAGACTCGTTGTGTGTGACAATTGATTTTCGTGAAAAATTTTTTCCAAAAATTGACACTGTTTAGGAATTTTTTTTATATTTAATTACCAATTGCTTAATGGTGGCAGGCAATCATCTGACCCATAGGTGGCAGCCATCTCAAGCCAGAGGACGAAAGGACTCTAGCCGCCACGCATATAAAGGATTTATAGTGAAGAACTTTGTTTTTACGGGTTAATTTTTTTTGTTCAAATCATTTAATTCATTATTTCGTAAAAAAATATTCATTCCCTTTGTTGGTTCTTTCATTAATTTAGTCCATTCTTTCACACGCATAGCTCATGACTTAAGAAATCTCGTTCATTATTTAATTAATTTCGCTCGCGCTTTCGTTCATCCTCTTCGTTCATTCTTCAAATAGGCTCGTTCATTATTTCGTTCATTCTTTCACACACCTCGTTCATTACTTAACTAATTTCGTTCGGTCTTTCATTTAAATGAGTTCAATTTCGTTCATCCTCTCCGTTCATTCTTCCATCCATTTCGTTCATTCTTCCAATCCGTCTCGTTCATTCGTTCAATTTATGTTGTTCATCCGTCCACACATCCGTTCGTTCGCTCGTCGTGCCGAGTCGGCACGGGGTCGTAGCGTCAAGCGCCGTCACCGCGCTGGCAAGGAGCGATGCCGCCGCCGCCGCTGCCGCTGAGAGCGTCTCTCCAGTCGGTTGTTTCATCCACGCGGTGACGGCTCAAACAAGCGGCTCGTCATCGTCGTCGTCGTCATCATCGTCGTCGTCGTCGTCGTCGTCATCGTCGTCGTCATCGTCGTCGTCATCATCGTCGTCATCGTCGTCATCATCGTCGTCGTCGTCGTCATCATCGTCGTCGTCGTCGTCGTCATCATCGTCATCATCGTCGTCATCGTCGTTATCGTCATCGTCGTCGTCGTCATCGTCGTCGACGTCATCGTCGTCGTCGTCGTCGTCGTCGTCATCGTCGTCGTCATCGTCGTCGTCATCATCGTCGTCATCGTCGTCATCATCGTCGTCGTCGTCGTCATCATCGTCGTCGTCGTCGTCATCATCGTCATCATCGTCGTCATCGTCGTTATCGTCATCGTCGTCGTCGTCATCGTCGTCGTCGTCATCGTCGTCGTCGTCATCGTCGAGGTGGTCAACATCTCCTGGCCACCGCGGGGTCCAGGTGGGTCGTGGTGGGGGGGGGCAGGTGGGTCGTGGTGGGGGGGGGCCAGGTGGGTTGTGGTGGGGGTGGGTGGGGGGGCCTCACCTGCGCAGGCTGCCGGCTCGCCGCTCCACGCGCCGCCTGCGCCGCACTCCCGGAGCGGCGACCCGCGCAGCACGAAGCCCACGTGGCACCCCGACACGCACAGCCTGGCGCCACCACCACCACCAGTGCCACCACCAGTGCCACCACCACCGCCACCACCATCGCCACCACCACCACCAGTGCCACCGCCACCACCACCACCAGTGCCACCACCACCACCACCAGTGCCACCACCGCCACCACCACCACCACCACCGCCACCACCACCACCAGTGCCACCACCACCACCGCCACCAATGCCACCGCCACCACCACCGCAGCATCGCACGTGGCCATGCTCAGGCGCGGGCAGCACGGGGCAGGGGCGAGACGTGGGGGGCGGGGCAGCTGTAGCAGCTGTGTCAGGGGCAGCTGTGTCAGGGCCAGCTGTGTCAGGGGCAGCTGTGTCAGGGGCAGCTGTAGCAGCAGCTGTGTCAGGGGCAGCTGTGTCAGGGGCAGCTGTGTCAGGGGCAGCTGTAGCAGCAGCTGTAGGGGCAGCTGTGTCAGGGGCAGCTGTGTCAGGGGCAGCTGTGTCAGGGGCAGCTGTGTCAGGGGCAGCTGTGTCAGGGGCGGCTGTAGCAGCTGTGTCAGGAGGGGCTGTGTATGAACAGTAGGTAGCAGCAGCAGAAACAGAAGTCACAGTAGTGGCAGCAGAGGTAGCAGCAGCAGTAGCAGCAAGAGTAGTCACAGTAGCAGTAGCAGCAGCAGAAGCAGCAGTAATCGCGGCAGTAGCGCTAATAGCAGCAGTAGTAGCAGCAGTAGTAGTAGTAGCAGCAGTAGTAGCAGTATGAGTAGCAGCAGTAGTAGCAGCAATAGAAGTAGCAGCAATAAAATTAGCAGCAGTGGCAGCAGTAGTAGTAATCACGGCAGTAGCTTTCATAGTAGCTGTAGTAGCAGCAGCAGAAGTAGCAGCAGTTGTAGCAGTAGAAGTAGTAGCAGCAGTAGTAGCAGTAGAAGCAACAGCAGAAGCAGTAGGAGTAATCACAGTAGTAGCAGCAGCAGTAGTAGCAGCAGCAGAAGCAGCAGTAGTAGCAGTAGTAGCAGTAGCAGCAGCAGTAGCAGCAGTAGTAGCAGTAGTAGCAGCAGTAGTAGCAGCAGTAGCAGAAGTAGCAGCAGGATAAGTAGCAGTAGTAGCTGGGATAGCAGCAGCAGCATTATCACAAGCACAGTCATTTTCATAACCATCACGATCATCATCATCAACGTGGGCACAGCATTCATCACCAGCCATGGCCTATCCACTGCTGGATGAAGGCCTCCCCACAGTGTAGCCTTGTTAACCCCACCACTCACTACCCTGCACACCGATGGACATTCCACATTGATATGCCTGGGGCTGAGTCCATCCATAGGACCAACACCACCGTTGATCCTCCACTCCCCCCCCTTCCACAACCCACTCACAAAGGGGTGCTTATTTTATCCATCCTCGGAGAGAGGGAGCGATGATTGCCTCCACGTCAACCTCACAGCATTCATTCCCTGGCCCAGCCAATGGGAGGCAGAGTGGCGTTGTGTCTATAGGACCTGGTCCAGCCAATGGGAGACAGAGTGGCGTTGTGTCTATAGGACCTGGCCCAGCCAATGGGAGACAGAGTAGCGTTGTGTCTATAGGACCTGGCCCAACCAATGGGAGGCAGAGTGGCGTTGTGTCTATAGGACCTGGCCCAGCCAATGGGAGACAGAGTGGCGTTGTGTCTATAGGACCTGGCCCAGCCAATGGGAGACAGAGTGGCGTTGTGTCTGTAGGACCTGGCCCAGCCAATGGGAGACAGAGTAGCGTTGTGTCTATAGGACCTGGCCCAGCCAATGGGAGGCAGAGTGGCGTTGTGTCTATAGGACCTGGCCCAGCCAATGGGAGACAGAGTAGCGTTGTGTCTATAGGACCTGGCCCAGCCAATGGGAGACAGAGTGGCGTTGTGTCTATAGGACCTGGCCCAGCCAATGGGAGACAGAGTGGCGTTGTGTCTATAGGACCTGGCCCAGCCAATGGGAGACAGAGTGGCGTTGTGTCTGTAGGACCTGGCCCAGCCAATGGGAGACAGAGTGGCGTTGTGTCTATAGGACCTGGCCCAGCCAATGGGAGACAGAGTAGCGTTGTGTCTATAGGACCTGGCCCAGCCAATGGGAGACAGAGTGGCGTTGTGTCTATAGGATCTGGCCCAGCCAATAGAGATTCATAGAGATCCATAGAGGCCAATGAAGACTTGTAGAGACCTAATAGAGACTCATTGAGACCCGGATACTCATAGAGAATCATCGATACTCATAGATACCCAGAGAGACTGAGGAACCCATAGGAACTCCCCCATGGAGACTGAGAGAGACTCATAGACACCTATAAAGACTCACCCATAGAGACCCAGAGAGACTCATAGACACCCATAGAGACTCACCCATAGAGACCCAGAGAGACTCATAGACACCTATAGAGACTCACCCATAGAGACCCAGAGAGACTCATAGACACCCATAGAGACTCACCCATAGAGATCCAGAGAGACTCATAGACACCCATAGAGACTCCTCCATATATACCCACGTGCAAAATGAACACAGGATCATGATTAGCATTACGATATTATTATCCTTTGTTATTATTATTAAAAATAATAAACCACGTGGCACTTACATGAGGGGGCAGCACTAGTCCAAGGTGCGGCCATTTTCTCGCAGGCCTCTCCATCGTAGCCCTCCCAGCATGCACAGCGGCGGCCCTGGAAGACCTCCACGCAGTCGCCCTGCCCGGAGCACGCCCCGGGCTCGCAGGAGTCTGCGGACCATTGAGGACATCGTGGAGATTGTGGACATCGTGGAGATTGTGGAGATTGTGAAGATTGTGGAGATTGTGGAGATTGTGGAGATTGTGGAGATTGTGGACATTGTGGAGATTGTGGACATTGTGGAGATTGTGGAGATTGAGGAGATTGTGAAGATTGTGGAGATTGTGAAGATTGTGGACATTGTGGAGATTGTGGACATTGTGGAGATTGTGGAGATTGTGGACATTGTGGAGATTGTGGACATTGTGGAGATTGAGGAGATTGTGGACATTGTGGACATTGTGGAGATTGTGGAGATTGAGGAGATTGAGGAGATTGTGGAGATTGTGGACATTGTGGAGATTGAGGAGATTGTGGAGATTGTGAAGATTGTGGAGATTGTGGAGATTGTGGAGATTGTGGACATTGTGGAGATTGTGGACATTGTGGAGATTGTGGAGATTGAGGAGATTGTGAAGATTGTGGAGATTGTGAAGATTGTGGACATTGTGGAGATTGTGGAGATTGAGGAGATTGTGAAGATTGTGGAGATTGTGAAGATTGTGGACATTGTGGAGATTGTGGACATTGTGGAGATTGTGGAGATTGTGGACATTGTGGACATTGTGATGATTATGGAGATTGTGGAAATTGTGGAGATTGTGATGATTGTGGAGATTGTGGAAATTGTGGACATTGTGGTGATTGTGGAGATTGTGGAGATTGTGATGATTGTGGAGATTGTGGAAATTGTGGACATTGTGGTGATTGTGGAGATTGTGGAGATTGTGGAGATTCTGGACACACGGCGTCAACCCACACAGTGTATTCCGTGCTCTGTACAGGGAAATTGAGTTGTCACGTCCGTGCGGCGTGCAGCTGTTTCAATATAATAATGTTTGTGTCTATTTGTTTGTGTTTCTCCCTTGTGATGGGACTTTGTAGGATGAACGTTGAGATTTATGAGGGGCACGGGGCGTGACCAGTAAGGTCTGACTTGGTCTGTAGTAAGGTCGGGCACCGATAAGGGGTTGACGGGTTGTCGCGGACCACGTGGAGGATGATGGGGCACGGGACATGGGGATTGGTTGGGATCATTTCGATTATTCGGCGTCTCGATAATTTGTCTGATGTTGTAAATTTCCACGTGACGATGACGACGATGATGGGCCATTCTGTTGAGCGCTGTCGTTTGCGTTGGCCAGGTAGCTTCTGAACAATAAGTGGATGCCTCAGTGGGCGTCGCCTGTGTAGCATGGCGATGGTTGAGTGTTGTATTCGCATGTTTTTGGTGATCTGTTTATACCTTTCTTGTACTTTGCTCTGCTATCGCGTTTGTGTAACTGTGTTGTTGTTGTAACGTTCTTACCTCGTGCCACTTAACTGGGACATCTGTGAGTAAAATAGCTCATCGGATTCCTCCTGCAGTATCAATAATGATTCTGATTCTGACTGTTGGGGCAAGTGCTGTTAGTGGCGAGTAGCAGCGCCTATGAAGGCCGGAACGGCACACGAGGGGCTGGGTTGGCCAGCACCACCCGGCCGCCTTTGTCTCCCCTGCAGCGATGTTGACACACCGCACCAGATAACTCATTTGAGGCTGAGCCGACCTAGGCGAGTCCCCCCCTGGGGACCGGTTCAAAAAGACCATCGCATGAAGACCATCGGGTTTGTCTTTTGTTTGCTGTAACGTTCTGACGCCGTGGCTTCCTGCTGGACATCTGTTACAAAGAGCTTTACAGATCATCAGATTCCTCCAGAATGAAGAACATTAATGGGATGCGTGGTCACCGTTGGTAGCGCACGTGCCGTTTCCGCGTGTGCCACCGTTAGCCACCAAGTGGCGGCGAAGCCACCACGGCGCCCGTGCCAGGCTAGGTGCACTCTGAGGCTATCGCGTGAAGTGTCGAAGGCTCGCTGCTGACAACAGGTCACGGGACAGGCCCCAGGTGGTGCCATGGGTCGACTGAGAGATGTACACCACCTGTGCCCCCCTACTGTGCCAACTCGCGGCGTTTTATCCGCCCGGCGCTCCGCTTATTGTTGTGAGCGTCGCTCCTCTGGCTTCTGTTGTTGTTGGAGGGCGGCTGCCTCCAACTTCCCAGTAGCGTCCTTCACGAGCCTTCTCCATAATAAACTACAGACTAAACTATAAGTGGCTTAAATTTCGATTTAAAGCTTTCGTGACTGCAGGGATTCATCTTCTTGGTTCTTTCGGTAAAGTCACGTAGAAGGGAAATAATAAAATAATGAAAATAAAACATAATAAAATACAATTCTCACGACGTTTAAGCCACAACGCAAGCAGCCGTCCTCAGGTGAAGAACAGCGTCTGTCGGAAAGACAGCGTCTGTGGCTTATCGCGTGGAAATGTACAGCAGCAGCCAAAAACTATGAACACGTGTTGCTAAATGTGGGGGGGGGGGGCCGGAGGACCCGGAGAAAAATCCACGCGACCGTGGGGAGAGAGAGACGCAGACTCATAAAATACACAGCAGGCGTCAGGGTCGCGTGTCGAACCCACGACCTCTTGCACACCAGGCGAGGTAGTTAACATCTCCTAGCCAACGTGATGATGATGAGAGAGAGAGAGACGCAAACTCCAAATATACAGCAGCAGGCGCCGTCAGGGTCGGGTGTCGAACCCACGAACTCACCTCTGAAGCAAAGAGCCCTCTTCCTCTTGCGACAAGATTCATCGTTCCAACGCCCGTGTGCCGGATCCTCTACACCACCATCACCTCCACCATCTGGTACATCAACATCACCATCACCTCCACCATCTGGTACATCATCATCACCTCCACCATTTGGTACATCAACATCATCATCATCACCTCCACCATCTGGTGCATCAACATCACCACCATCACCTCCACCTGATACATCATCATCATCACCATCATCATCTGGTTCATCATCATCATCACCTCCACCATCTGATACATCAACATCACCATAACATCCAACATCTGGTACATCATCACCTCCAGCATCTCCACCATCTGGTACATCATCATCATCACCTCTACCATCTGGTTCATCATCATCATCACCTCCACCATCTGGTACATCCTCATCATCACCTCCACCATCTGGTACATCAACATCACCATCACCTCCAACATCTGGTACATCATCACCTCCAACATCTCAACCATCTGGTACATCATCATCAACATCACCATATCCGCCATCTCATACATCATCATCATCAACATCACCATATCCGCTATCTGGTTCATCATCATCACCTCCATCTCCACCATCTGGTACATTATCATCATCACCTCCATCATCTGGTTAATCATCATCATCATCGTCATCACCTCCATCGCCACCATCTGGTACATCATCAGCATAACCACCACCTCCATCATCATCGTCATCACCTCCATCATCACCATCGTCGTCACGATCATCATCAGCTGCTCCTCCACCTGCCTCACCTCCCCCGCCGCTCCTGCCGGCCTTCACGTACATCTCCACGCAGTCTTCGTTGCTCTTGCGATTGTTCGGCTCCCCGGGAGCCCAGTTGAGGTACGTGGCCTCTGACGTTCCATTGAGCCACTTCCACGACCCTCCACCTCCTCCTCCTCCACCACCACCACCACCACCACCTCCATCCCTATCCACCTCTTCGCCCTCCTTCCCGTCAGGGCTCCTCCTCAGGCCGATCCAGAAGTAGCCTCGGTCCGTGGGCAGGGTGGACGCGAGGAGGCGATTGAGGGTCGAGTCGGCGACGAACGCCAGGTCCCGATGCCTCCGGCGGCAGAACTTGAGGGCGTCCGACCATTGCAGGGTCAAGTTGGAGAAGTGAAAAGTCCACGGGGTCACGTGGTCTGGGAGGCGTGCGACGCAGACGACGACGATGACGGTGGCGGTGGCAGCGACGAGAAGGGAGAGGAAGAATCGACAAGAAGTTTCGTTTACACCATTGGAACCTCATTTGGCAGTAAAAAAATATGATAATTGTTTTTTTACCCTTCTATCTGGCAACAAAACTGACACCTTTTTTTTTATAAGGAGTCATGTTTACATAGACCACAATACCTGCAGTTGTAATGCAAACAAAAAACACAACTCTGATAATGGTGTGGACCAATCAACTTCAAGGACAGTGCATATCATTATCAGAGTTGTGTGTTTTGTTTGCATTCCGACTGTAGGTATTGCGGTCAATGCAAACACGACTCATTGTAAAAAAAGGTGTCAGTTTTGTTGCCAGATAAAAAGGGTAAAAAAACAATTATCAAAACCCCCCTATTATTATATTTTTATCTCTCTCTCGAGCTCACTAAACCAGCATGAGCCTGCCGTAAACCACGTGGCTCCCGTAAACCACGTGGCTCCCACGTGACCACGCCCACCACTCTGAACCCCTCCCCCAACCCCTTCTGACTCCGCCCCCTTTTCCCGCCATGCTGCTGGGTGCAGCAGCTCCCTGCTGCTCGCTCCTCCTGCCTCGTGATCAATCCACTGATGACGACGATGATGACGACGATGACGATGATGACGACGATGATGACGACGATGATGATGACGATGATGATGACGATGATGACGACGAAGATGACGATCATGATGACGACGATGATGACGATGATGACGATGATGATGACGATGACGATGATAACGATGATGATTACGATGATGATGATGACGACGACGATGATGATGATGATGATGACGACGACGATGATGATGACGATTATGATGACGATGACGATGATGACGATGATGACGACGATGATGATGACGATGATGATGACGATAATGACGACGAAGATGACGATCATGATGACGACGATGATGATGACGATGATTAGTCTGATGATGATTACGTTTAGAGGATTATTTGGCTGACGATCAAGTTGAAAATATGACATTGGTGCTGCTGATGCTACTGCTGCTGTTGCTGATGATGCTGATGCTGCTGATGATGATGCTGATGATGCTACTGCTGTTGCTGATGATGATGCTGATGATGCTGATGATGCTGATGATTATGCTGATGATGCTGATTATGCTACTGATGCGACTGCTGTTGCTGATGATGCTGATGATGCTACTGCTGTTGCTGATGATGATGCTGTTGCTGATGATGCTGATGATGCTACTGCTGTTGCTGATGATGATGCTGTTGCTGATGATGCTGATGATGCTGACTCACCGAGCGACATGAATGCGAGCAGAAGCATAAGCTGGAAGCTGCCCATGCTGAGAGTGGAGACCGCGAGACGACGGCGAGACACGCAGAGACACAGAGACACACAGAGACACACAGAGACACACAGAGACACACAGAGACACAGACAGAGACACACAGAGACACACAGAGACACACAGAGACACAGACAGAGACACACAGAGACACAGAGACACACAGAGACACAGAGACACACAGAGACACACAGAGACACAGACACACACAGACACACAGAGACACACAGAGACACACAGAGACTCAGAGACACACAGAGACACACAGAGACACACAGAGACACAGAGACACAGGCAGAGAGACCCCGACAGACACGGGAGGGAGACACGGGAGGGAGAGGCAAAGTCCCTGGGGGGGGTAAGGAAACTCCGCAATCCCTTTCCTGTTTGTGGACTGCAGCCCACCCAGCAAAGAAATCCGCGGAAGCCCCGAGGCGCCCCCCCTACCCCCCCACACGTCCCACGCGCATCTACAGAGCCCCTGGCGTTGACACGGGAGCCTTGAAGTGACGGCTCTGTGAGCCTCAGGCCGCGGTCTTCAAAGGTGGCTCAGCGTTGATTTGACACGGCCGTGTACGGACCCACAGAGAGAGAGACATCCAGACCCAGGGCTCGAACCCAGGATCTCTGTGTCTCTGACACGGCCATTGTGAACCCCCTGAGAGAGAGACACCCAGACCCAGGGCTCGAACCCAGACTCTCGGTGTCTCTGACACGGCCATCGTGAACCCACTGAGAGAGAGACACCCAGACCCAGGGCTCGAACCCAGACTCTCGGTGTCTCTGACACGGCCATCGTGAACCCACTGAGAGAGAGAGACAACCAGACCCAGGGCTCGAACCCAGGCTCTCGGTGTCTCTGACACGGCCATCGTGAACCCACTGAGAGAGAGACACCCAGACCCAGGGCTCGAACCCAGACTCTCAGTGTCTCTGACACGGCCATTGTGAACCCACTGAGAGAGAGAGACAACCAGACCCAGGGCTCGAACCCAGGCTCTCGGTGTCTCTGACACGGCCATCGTGAACCCCCTGAGAGAGAGAGACAACCAGACCCAGGGCTCGAACCCAGGCTCTCGGTGTCTCTGACACGGCCATCGTGAACCCACTGAGAGAGAGACACCCTGACCCAGGGCTCGAACCCAGGGTCTCAGCGGTGCTGGTTCAAGCCCTGGGGCTGGGTGTCTCTCTCTGTGGGCTCACAATGGCCATGTCAGAGTCACTGACAGCCTGGGTTCGAGCCCTGGGTCTGGGTGTCTCTCTCAGTGGGTTCACGATGGCCGTGTTAGAGACACTGAGACCCTGGGTTCAAGCCCTGGGTCTGGGTGTCTCTCTCAGTGGGTTCACAATGGCCGTGTCAGAGACACTGAGACCCTGGGTTCGAGCCCTGGGTCTGGGTGTTTCTCTCAGTGAGTTCACAATGGCCGTGTCAGAGACACTGAGACCCTGGGTTCGAGCCCTGGGTCTGGGTGTTTCTCTCAGTGAGTTCACAATGGCCGTGTCAGAGACACAGAGACCCTGGGTTCGAGCCCTGGGTCTGGGTCTCTCTCTCTCAGGGGGTTCACAATGGCCGTGTCAGAGACACAGAGACCCTGGGTTCGAGCCCTGGGTCTGAGTTCACCGTGCACCCGAATAAAAAACAAACTGGTGACGCCATCCCGAATCAGTCAGAATCAGAATATTTATTTATTCTGCAGGAGGAATCCGATGGGCTTTAAAGCTCTTGACTCACAGAAAGTACAATCAAGGTAAACAAATCACCCAGACACAAAATCGATACAACACTCAACCATCCCCATCCTACCAGGCCAAGACACATTCGAGATTTACAACATCATAATTTACGATTAAATACGACTCCAATAACTTAAGTCACGATGATCACAACGTAATGCCGGTCCTGACAACAGAGTGACGATTTAGCAATAGAGCAGAGTTGGTGATCTCACTCCCACTTACACCACAACTACCACCACCACCACCACAACTACCACCACCACTACCACCTACACCACAACTACCACCACCACCACCTACACCACCACCACCACTACCTACACCACCACCGCCTACACCACTACTACCACCACCTACACCACCACTACCACCACCACTACCACCTACACCACAACTACCACCACCACCTACACCATCACCACCACCTACACCACAACTACCACCACCACCTACACCACAACCACCACTACCACCTACACCACAACTACCACCACCCCCTACACCACTACTACCACCACCTACACCACAACTACCACCACCACTACTACCTACACCACAACTACCACCACCACCACCTACACCACCACTACCACCACCACCTACACCACAACTACCACCACCACCTACACCATCACCACCACCTACACCACAACTACCACCACCACCTACACCACAACCACCACTACCACCTACACCACAACTACCACCACCCCCTACACCACTACTACCACCACCTACACCACAACTACCACCACCACTACTACCTACACCACAACTACCACCACCACCACCTACACCACCACTACCACCACCACCTCCACCATCACCACCGCCTTTACGCATCACAGGATAAATAAATATACAATGAATTGTAATACCTTAAATATTATTCAAGTAGTTATCTGTTACAACATTACTATTTCATTATTATTACGATTTAATAACGGTTCAAGTTTTCAAATGAGGCTTCTGTATGGGACGAGGGTTCTATATGGGACGAGGGTTCTGTATGGGACGAGGGCTCTGTATGGGACGAGGGTTCTGTATGGGACGAGGGTTCTGTATGGGACGAGGGTTCTGTATGGGACGAGGGTTCTGTATGGGACGAGGGTTCTGTATGGGACGAGGGTTCTGTATGGGACGAGGGTTCTGTATGGGACGAGGGTTCTGTATGGGACGAGGGTTCTGTATGGGACGAGGGTTCTGTATGGGACGAGGCTTCTGTGTGGGACGAGGGTTCTGTATGGGATGAGGGTTCTGTATGGGATGAGGGTTCTGTATGGGACGAGGGTTCTGTATGGGATGAGGGCTCTGTATGGGATGAGGGCTCTGTATTGGACTAGGGTTCTGTATGGGACGAGGTCTCTATATGGGACGAGCCCTCTGTATTGGACGAGGCCTCTGTATGGGAGTCGAACCTGCGACCCCTAAGGCTGTGAGATTCCAGGAGGGTCACGTGGGGCGCGGTCCCAGTGTGAACTCGCTACAAGTTCCAGCCGTGGTCGGACTCTCGACTTCTACTGCGACGTCTCGCGGTGAGATCTGCAATGACACACGGAGAGGGTTTCAGCAGCAGCATCAGCAACATCCTCATCAGCATCATCATCAGCAGCAGCAGCGTCATCATCAGCAGCAGAATCATCATCACCATCATCAGCAGCAGCATCATCATCATCATCACCAGCAGCAGCATCATCAGCAGCAGCAGCAGCATCATCATCACCATTATCATCACCAGCAGCAGCATCATCATCATCATCAGCAGCAGCATCATCATCATCATCACCAGCAGCATCATCATCAGCAGCAGCAGCATCATCATCATCATCATCAGCAGCAGCAGCAGCAGCAGCATCACCATCATCATCACCATCATCATCACCATCATCATCATCAGCAGCAGCATCATCAGCAGCAGAATCATCATCATCATCAGCAGCAGCATCATCATCACCATCATCACCATCATCATCACCAGCAGCAGCAGCATCATCAGCAGCAGCAGCAGCATCATCATCAGCAGAATCATCATCATCAGCAGCAGCATCATCATCATTAGTACCGCCATCACCATCATCGCCACCACCACTATTACCGTCACCACCACCACAACTATCATCATCACCACCACCAACACCACCACCACCACCATCATCATCACCACAATCACCATCAACACCACCACCACAGCCATCATCATCACCACCACCACTATCATCATCACCACCACCATCCCCACCACTATCATCATCATCACCACCATCAACACCACTATCATCATCACCACCACTATCATCACCATCATCACCACTATCACCACCACCACCACCACCATCCCCACCATCATCATCATCACCACCATCACCACCACCACCACTATCATCATCATCACCACCACCATCACCACCACCACTATCATCATCATCACCACCACCACCACCACTATCATCATCATCATCACCACCACCATGACCACCACCACCACTATCATCATCATCACCACCACCATCACCACCACCACCACCACTATCATCATCATCATCACCACCACCATCCCCACCACTATCATCATCATCACCACCACCATCCCCACCATCATCATCATCACCACCACCATCACCACCACCACCACTATCATCATCATCATCACCACCACCATCACCACCACCACCATTATCATCATCATCATCACCACCACCATGACCACCACCACCACTATCATCATCATCATCATCACCACCATCACCACCACCAGCACTACCATCATCATCATCACCACCACCATCACCACCACCACTACTATCATCATCATCACCACCACCACCACCATCCCCACCATCATCATCATCACCACGACCACCGCCACCCCCCAAGCTCTCACCTCTCTGGGCTCCGCGAGTCTCCGTCTACACAAAGTCCCCAGCCTCCTGTGGTGACGACTTCCACTCCCCTCGCTCCGTGAACGTCTCGGTGTGTGGCTGATCACTGGAAGACATCGCCACCACCAACATCATCACCACCACCAACGTCACCACCACCAACCACATCACCACCAACAACAACATCACCACCACAACCAACAACATCATCACCACCAACATCATTACCGCCACCAACAACATCATCATCACCACCAACAACATCAACATCACCACCACCATCACCAACAACATCATCACCACCACCACCACCACCGCTTAGTAATTGGGTGAGTGACTGGGTGAGTGGGATAGTCAGTGAGTGAGTAAACGAGCGACTTGGTGAGCGAGCGAGTGACAGGGTGAGTGAGTGGATGAGTGAGTGAGTGAGCGACTGGGTGAGTGAGTGAGTGAGTGACTGGGTGAGTGAGTGACTGGGTGAGTGGGTGAGTGAGTGAGTGACTGGGTGAGTGAGTGACTGGGTGTGTGAGCGAGCGAGCGACTGGGTGAGTGAGTGAGCGAGCGACTGGGTGAGTGAGTAAGCGACTTGGTGAGTGAGTGGATGAGTTAGTGAGTGAGCGACTGGGTGAGTGAGTGAGCGAGCGACTGGGTGAGTGAGTGAGCGACTGGGTAAGTGAGTGGGTGAGTGAGTGGGTGAGTGAGTGGGTGAGTGAGTGAGTGGGTGAGTGAGTGGGTGAGTGAGTGGGTGAGTGAGTGAGCGGCTGCTTCACTCATCACGTCTGGGCGAACAGAGAAACGTGCGCTGTGATTTACGGCTGAGCGGATCGAGTGCGGGCCAGCCTACCTGGTCCGACGCCTCTCCAAGTCACAGGCACCTGGGACGAGAATCGCAGAAGAGGTTCTGAGTCATCGTGTGACAGTGCAGAGCAGCACCATACACAGAGAGAGTGCACACCACAGGCAAAGGTCCCCCGTGTAGCCCTGATCCACTGTTAGGGCAAGTGCTGTTAGCGGGTAGCGTCACTGATTTATGTGACCTCACTCACACACTCACTCACCCAATCACACACTCACACACTCACCCAATCACACACTCACACACTCACCCAATCACACACTCACAGACTCACACACACTTACAGACTCACACACACTCACACACTCACACTCTCTCACACACTCACACACTCATTCTCAACCTCTCACAGACTCACCCAATCACACAGTCACTCTCTCATACACACACTCACACACTCACTCACACACTCACTCTCTCACACACACTCACACTCTCACACACACTCACACTCTCACACACTCTCTCACTCTCTCACACTCTCTCACTCACACTCTCTCTCTCACTCACACACACACTCTCACACTCACTCTCATACTCACTCACACTCTCACCCTCTCACCCCCTCACCCTCACTCTCCTCACCTTTCCTCCTCCTCCACAGCGCCACCAGCCCCGCTGCCCCCCCCCCCCCCCCCCAGCGTGGCGAGCACTCACACTCACTCACACACTCTCACACTCTCTCACTCTCTCACTCACACACTCTCACACTCTCTCACTCACCCACTCTCACACACTCTCACTTACACACACTCACTCACACACACTCTCACACTCACTCACTCTCACACTCTCTCACTCACCCACTCTCACACACTCTCACTTACACACACTCACTCACACACACTCTCTCACTCACACACTCTCACACTCTCTCACTCACTCACTCTCACACACTCTCACTTACACACACTCACTCACACACACTCTCTCACTCACACTCTCACACTCTCTCACTCTCTCACTCACACACTCTCACACTCTCTCACTCACCCACTCTCACACACTCTCACTTACACACACTCACTCACACACACTCTCACACTCACTCACTCTCACACTCTCTCACTCACACTCTCATCCCCTCACCCCCTCACCCCCCTCACCTTTCTTCCTCCTCCACAGCGCCACCGCCAGCCCCGCTGCCCCCCCCCCCAGCGTGGCGAGCACAGCGGCTGCCCCGGCAGCTGCTGCCCTCTCCCCCGCCCTCCTGCGCCCTGCAGACAACGACAAAGATCCCCCGTGTAGCCGTCACAGGATGTGTGAGCAGCAGCTGTGAAGGCTGCCGGCGCTGTGGCACACGAGGGGGGGGTGGGTGGCTACCACCACCACGCCCGGCCGCCTTTGTCTCCCCAAGTGGCGATGTTTACTGCACCACCGCTACGCCAGGTTACTCATTTGAGGCTGAGTTGATCTAAGGGAGTCCCTAGATCGACTCGGCTTCGGAGCTCGCTAACCACTGCACCACCACTCTGACATCAATCACGTGGTGGGCACGTCACGCGGTGGGTAAATCACGTGGTGGGTACGTTACACTGGGTACGTCACGTGGGTACGTCACGTGGCCACATCACGTGGGCACATCACATCACAATGGGCACGTCACGTGGGCACGTCACGTGGGCACGTCACATGGTGGGTACACTGGGCACGTCACACTGGGCACGTCACGTGGGCACGTCACGTGGGCACGTCACGTGGGCACGTCAGCTCACAGCACTGCACGAGGAGTGAGGGAGAGTACGCACCTGCCATAGACACATCCAGATCAGCTGTGGTAGGATCGGCTGCTGTAGGTTCTTCGGATGTTGTAGGTTCAGCTGTTGTAGGATCAGCTGTTGTAGGATCAGCTGTTGTAGGATCAGCTGTTGTAGGTTCAGCTGTTGTAGGATCAGCTGTTGTAGGATTGACTGTTGTAGGATTGGCTGTTGTAGGTTCAGCTGTTGTAGGATCAGCTGTTGTAGGATTGACTGTTGTAGGTTCAGCTGTTGTAGGATCAGCTGTTGTAGAATCAGCTGTTGTAGGATTGACTGTTGTAGGTTCAACTGTTGTAGGTTCAGCTGTTGTAGGTTTGGCTGTTGTAGGATCAGCTGTTGTAGGTTTGGCTGTTGTAGGTTTGGCTGTTGTAGGTTTGGCTGTTGTAGGTTCAACTGTTGTAGGTTTGGCTGTTGTAGGATCAGCTGTTGTAGGTTCAACTGTTGTAGGTTTGGCTGTTGTAGGATCAGCTGTTGTAGGTTTGACTGTTGTAGGTTCAACTGTTGTAGGTTCAGCTGTTGTAGGTTTGGCTGTTGTAGGTTCAACTGTTGTAGGTTTGGCTGTTGTAGGTTTGGCTGTTGTAGGATCAGCTGTTGTAGGTTTGGCTGTTGTAGGTTCAGCTGTTGTAGGTTCAGCTGTTGTAGGATCAGCTGTTGTAGGTTCAGCTGTTGTAGGTTCAGCTGTTGTGGGATTGACTGTTGTAGGATTGACTGTTGTAGGATTGACTGTTGTAGGTTCAGGTGTTGTAGGTTCAGCTGTTGTAGGTTCGGCTGTTGTAGGTTCAGCTGTTGTAGGTTTGGCTGTTGTAGGTTCAGCTGTTGTAGGTTTGGCTGTTGTAGGTTCAGCTGTTGTAGGTTCAGCTGTTGTGTCGGCTGGTCCTGCACGAGAGAAACAAGAACGTTAGAGACATCCAGACCTGAACTTGAACCCAGACCCCCAGTGTCTGTGACACGGCCACTGTGAACCCCCTGAGAGAGAGAGAGACACCCAGACCTGAACTTGAACCCAGACCCCAGTGTCTGTGACACGGCCACTGTGAACCCCCTGAGAGAGAGACACCCAGACCTGAACTTGAACCCAGACCCCAGTGTCTGTGACACGGCCACTGTGAACCCCCTGAGAGAGAGAGAGACACCCAGAGACCTGAACTTGAACCCACCTATCACGCAGAGCGCTCGCTTCTTCTTGCCGCAGTGTTCGTCGTTCCAGCGGCCGTGCCTCGCGTGGCGCACTGCCACGTGGTCGGCCCCTTCCCTCGTCACGTGGTCGTCCCCCGTCACGTGACCGGCCCCTTCCCTCGTCACGTGGTCGTCCCCCGTCACGTGGCCGGCCCCTCCCCTCACCACGTACATCTCGACGCAGTCTTCTCTGGCGAGGTTGTTCGGTTCGGACGGGGCCCAGTTCAGGAATCCGTCGGCGGAGGAATTGTCGATCCATCTCCACTGCAGGCCGCCCACCTGCGTCGGAGGCGGGGTCAGAGGTCGCCGTCTTATTGGGGAATCCGAAGAGCCGCAAAGCTCTTGTTCGTAGTGGCAGATGGAAGCGGATGCATTCAGATTCGGATGAGATTGCATCGATGATGGTGATGATGATGATGTTCATGATGGTGGTGGTATCGATAGCGATGTTGATGATGTTGATGGTGTTGTTTTTCATGTCGATTGAGTTGTTGATGGTGATGGAGTTGTTGTTGATGGTGATGTTGATGAAAACTACATCCCATGAAAACGCACAGGCCCTTGTTGGTGGTGGTGCTGGTGGTGGTGATGGTGGTGCTGGTGATGGTGGTGCTGGTGGTGGTAGTGGTGGTAGTGGTGGTGGTGGTAGTGGTGGTGGTAGTAGTGGTGCTGGTAGTGGTGCTGTTGGTGGTGGTGCTGGTGGTAGTGGTGCTGGTAGTGCTGGTGCTGCTGGTGGTGCTGGTGGTAGTGGTGTTGGTAGTGCTGCTGGTGGTGCAATCCGAACCTTCCGCAGTCCGATCCAGAACTTGCCGTCGCTCTCCGCCGCCAGTGCGGACGCGAGTCTCGCGTTGAGCCCGGCGCCGGTGACGACCGCCAGGTCAGCGCCGGCCTCCCGGCAGTAGTCGCGAGCCCTCCGCCAGGTCGTGGCGTGTGGGGACACGTGGAGACGCCACCCGCCTGTTGCCGTGTTCAGATTCAGTTTTCACGTATCAGGTAGAGACACAGACTCACACAGAGACCCATATAATCACACAGAGACCCACAGACTCACACAGAGACCCATAGACTCACACAGAGACCCACAGACTCACACAGAGACCCACACTCACACAGAGACCCATAGACTCACACAGAGACCCACAGATTCACAGAGACCCACAGACTCACACAGAGACCCATAGACTCACACAGAGACCCACAGACTCACACAGAGACCCACAGACTCACACAGAGACCCATAGACTCACACAGAGACCCACAGACTCACACAGAGACCCACACTCACACAGAGACCCATAGACTCACACAGAGACCCACAGACTCACACAGAGACCCACACTCACACAGAGACCCATAGACTCACACAGAGACGCACAGACTCACACAGAGACCCACACAGAGAGCCACAGACTCACACAGAGACCCACATAATCACACAGACTCCCACAGACTCACACAGAGACCCACAGACCCACACAGACTCACACAGAGACCCACAGGTGCCAACAGACTCGCACAGAGACGCACAAACTCACCGGCTATGACTGTGAATGTGATTGCGGAGAGCAGCAGCATCTTGCGCTGATGTCGGTATCCCGTTCGTGAATCTGCTGGCACCACGGGCAAGGGTGACACGCGGAGTGACTGCCGGGCATAGCTGGCACCACGGGGAAGGGTGACACGCGGAGTGAGTGCCGCACAGACACACACACATACACACACACAGACATGCACAGACACACACACAGACACGTGAAATCACGCACCTTACCCAAACGACGACTCGGATCTTCAGGTAGCGCTGTTAAACACTCGCAATTGTGACGTCTCTCTCTCTCTGTCTATCTGTGTCTCTCTGTCTCTCTCTGTGTCTCTGTGTCTCTCTCTCTGTCTCTGTGTGTTTTTGTGTCTCTGTGTCTCTCTCTCTGTGTCTCTCTGTGTCTCTGTGTGTCTCTCTGTCTCTGTGTGTCTCTGTGTCTCTCTCTGTGTGTTTCTGTGTGTCTCTGTGTCTCTCTCTGTCTCTGTGTGTCTCTGTGTGTCTCTGTGTCTCTCTCTGTCTCTGTGTGTCTCTGTGTCTCTCTCTCTGTCTCTGTGTGTTTTTGTGTCTCTGTGTCTCTCTGTCTCTCTGTGTCTCTGTGTGTCTCTCTGTCTCTGTGTGTCTCTGTGTCTCTCTCTCTGTCTCTGTGTGTCTCTGTGTGTCTCTGTGTCTCTCTCTGTCTCTGTGTGTCTCTGTGTGTCTCTGTGTCTCTCTCTGTCTCTGTGTGTCTCTCTGTGTCTCTGTGTGTCTCTCTGTCTCTGTGTGTCTCTGTGTCTCTCTCTCTGTCTCTGTGTGTCTCTGTGTGTCTCTGTGTCTCTCTCTGTGTCTCTGTGTGTCTCTGTGTGTCTCTGTGTCTCTCTCTGTGTCTCTGTGTGTCTCTGTGTGTCTCTGTGTCTCTCTCTGTGTCTCTGTGTGTCTCTGTGTGTCTCTGTGTCTCTCTCTCTGTCTCTGTGTGTTTCTGTGTGTCTCTGTGTCTCTCTCTGTGTCTCTGTGTGTCTCTGTGTGTCTCTGTGTCTCTCTCTGTGTCTCTGTGTGTCTCTGTGTCTCTCTCTGTGTCTCTCTCTCTGTGTCTCTCTGTGTCTCTGTGTCTCTGTGTGTCTCTCTGTCTCTGTGTGTCTCTGTGTCTCTCTCTCTGTCTCTGTGTGTCTCTGTGTGTCTCTGTGTCTCTCTCTGTGTCTCTGTGTGTCTCTGTGTCTCTCTCTGTGTCTCTCTCTGTCTCTGTGTGTCTCTGTGTGTCTCTGTGTGTCTCTCTGTCTCTGTGTGTCTCTGTGTGTCTCTGTGTCTCTCTCTGTCTCTGTGTGTCTCTGTGTGTCTCTGTGTCTCTCTCTGTCTCTGTGTGTCTCTGTGTGTCTCTGTGTCTCTCTCTCTGTGTCTCTCTGTGTCTCTGTGTCTCTGTGTGTCTCTCTGTCTCTGTGTGTCTCTCTGTCTCTGTGTGTCTCTGTGTCTCTCTCTCTGTCTCTGTGTGTCTCTGTGTGTCTCTGTGTGTCTCTGTGTCTCTCTCTGTCTCTGTGTCTCTCTCTGTGTCTCTCTCTGTCTCTGTGTGTCTCTGTGTGTCTCTGTGTGTCTCTCTGTCTCTGTGTGTCTCTGTGTGTCTCTGTGTGTCTCTGTGTCTCTCTCTGTGTCTCTGTGTGTCTCTGTGTCTCTCTCTGTGTCTCTCTCTGTCTCTGTGTGTCTCTGTGTGTCTCTGTGTGTCTCTCTGTCTCTGTGTGTCTCTGTGTGTCTCTGTGTCTCTCTCTGTCTCTGTGTGTCTCTGTGTGTCTCTGTGTCTCTCTCTGTCTCTGTGTGTTTCTGTGTGTCTCTGTGTCTCTCTCTCTGTGTCTCTCTGTGTCTCTGTGTCTCTGTGTGTCTCTCTGTCTCTGTGTGTCTCTCTGTCTCTGTGTGTCTCTGTGTCTCTCTCTCTCTGTGTGTCTCTGTGTGTCTCTGTGTGTCTCTGTCTCTCTCTGTGTCTCTGTGTGTCTCTGTGTGTTTCTGTGTGTCTCTGTGTCTCTCTCTGTGTCTCTGTGTGTCTCTGTGTCTCTCTCTGTGTCTCTCTCTGTCTCTGTGTGTCTCTGTGTGTCTCTGTGTGTCTCTCTGTCTCCGTGTGTCTCTGTGTGTCTCTGTGTCTCTCTCTGTCTCTGTGTGTCTCTGTGTGTCTCTGTGTCTCTCTCTGTCTCTGTGTGTTTCTGTGTGTCTCTGTGTCTCTCTCTCTGTGTCTCTCTGTGTCTCTGTGTCTCTGTGTGTCTCTCTGTCTCTGTGTGTCTCTCTGTCTCTGTGTGTCTCTGTGTCTCTCTCTCTGTCTCTGTGTGTCTCTGTGTGTCTCTGTGTGTCTCTGTGTCTCTCTCTGTCTCTGTGTCTCTCTGTGTGTCTCTGTGTGTCTCTGTGTGTCTCTGTGTGTCTCTGTGTCTCTCTCTGTCTCTGTGTCTCTGTGTCTCTGTGTGTCTCTGTGTGTCTCTGTGTGTCTCTGTGTGTCTCTGTGTGTCTCTGTGTGTCTCTGTGTGTCTCTGTGTGTCTCTGTGTGTCTCTGTGTGTCTCTGTGTGTCTCTCTGTGTCTCTGTGTGTCTCTGTGTGTCTCTGTGTGTCTCTGTGTGTCTCTGTGTCTCTCTCTGTGTCTCTGTGTGTCTCTGTGTGTCTCTGTGTGTCTCTGTGTGTCTCTGTGTCTCTCTCTGTGTCTCTCTCTGTCTCTGTGTGTCTCTGTGTGTCTCTGTGTCTCCGTCACCCACGACTCTCTCCTTCTCCCTCCTGCTAACGTGTCCCTCTTATACCCAACGCCGGTACCTTCGAGTGAGACGCCCCTCGTGATCTCATGGAAAGAAACGCGAAGTGCGTGACCGTTTCCTCTCTGGGAGACGACACGGGCGGCAGAGAGAGACACACGGAGAGAGCGAGGAAGGTGAAAATTGAGGAAAATCTAATTTGGGGAGCCGGGAAGACCCCCCCCCTTCTCCCCCGAGGAATCAATTCGCACGGAGTGTTGGAAATTCTACACCACCACCACCACCCTCCCTCCCTCCATGCGCTCCGCAACAAATCCCGGCGTGGTCAGAAGGGGAGGAAGCGCCTGTTAGTTTAGCTTAGAGGGTTATTGTTTAAAAAAAAAGTTAAGAAAATAAACTCCAAACTAAACATGTTTTGCATTCGACAATTCCCAGCGGACCTCGCGGGACCAGCCGTGCCGATGACCAGAGGTTGGAAATTCCCGCCACGTGATTAAGTTGTAGTTAGCAATGAGTGTTGATGATGGCCATTGATGATGATGAATTACGATGAATGACCATCACCATCATCAGGGGTCTCGTGGAAGGCGGGAAGGGAGCGTCTGGGGAGTGGCACGTGGTCTGTGAGGCGTGCAGAGCGGCGAGTCGGTGATAAACTCACTCAGCAACTCACCAACTCACCAAGTCACTCACCAACTCACTCACCAGCTCACTCACCAACTCACTCACCACTCACTCACCAACTCACTCACCAACTCACTCACCAACTCACTCACCAGCTCACTCACCAGCTCACTCACCAACTCACTCACCAGCTCACTCACCAACTCACTCACCAACTCACTCACCAACTCACTCACCAACCCACTCACTAGCTCACTCACCAACTCACTTACCAACTCACTCACCAACTCACTCAGCAAACTCACCCACCAACTCGCTCACCAGCTCACTCAGCAAACTCACTCACCAACTCACTCACCAGCTCACCCGCTCACCAACTCGCTCACCAACTCACTCACTCACCAACTCGCTCACCAACTCACTCACCAAACTCACCATCGATGAACTCACGTGTTGTGTGTTTATGTATGTTGATGTATGATGTGTGTTGATGTATGTTGTGTGATGTATGTTGTGTGTTGATGTGTTGATGTGTGTTGATGTATGATGTATGTTGTGTGTTTATGTATGTTGTGTGTTGATGTATGATGTGTATTCTTGGTTCTTTCGGTAAAGTCACGTAGATAGAAAATAAATAAAATACTAATAATAAATAGAAAAAAATAAAAGCAAAAAACCCACGACGTTTCGATCACAACACGAGCGGTCTTCATATAAACAAAAATATTTTCTCTCCGCCTGATGGTGGTGGTGGTGGCGGTGGTGGTGGCGGTGGTGGTGATGGTGGTGGCGATGGTGGTGGCGATGGTGGTGGTTGTGGTGGTGGTTGTGGTGGTGATGGTGGTGATGGTGGCGGCGGTGGTGGTTGTGGTGGTGGCGGTGATGGTGGTGGCAGTGATGGCGGTGATGGTGGTGGCGGTGATGGCGGTGGTGGCGGTTATGGTGGTGATGGTGGTGGTGGCGGTGATGGTGGTGATGGTGGTGGTGATGGTGGTGATGGTGGTGGTGGCGGTGATGGTGGTGATGGTGGTGGTGGTGATGGCGGTGGTGGCGGTTATGGTGGTGATGGTGGTGGTGGCGGTGATGGTGGTGATGGTGGCGATGGTGGCGGTGATGGTGGTGGTGGCGGTGATGGTGGTGATGGTGGTGGTGATGGTGGTGGTGATGGTGGTGGTGGCGGTGATGGTGGTGATGGTGGTGGTGATGGTGGTGGCGGTGATGGTGGTGATGGTGATGGCGGTGGTGGTGGTGGTGATGGTGGTGGTGGCGGTGATGGTGGTGATGGTGATGATGGTGATGGTGGTGGCGGTGATGGTGGTGATGCTGATGATGGTGATGGTGGTGGCGGTGATGGTGGTGATGGTGGTGATGGTGATGATGGTGATAGTGGTGGTGGTGGCGGTGATGGTGGTGGTGATGGTGGTGGTGATGGTGGTGGCGGTGATGGTGGTGGTGATGGTGGTGGTGGTGGCGGTGGTGGTGGTGATGGTGGTGGTGGTGGTGATGGTGACGGCACTGGACGTGGCTGCCTGTAACCCGCACTGTGGAGGCGTGGGGTTGGTGAACCACACAGAGATGGGGCGTGAAACTCCCTCCACTACCCCTCGGCATTGAGGGTCGTCATGTCCCGGCTTGGAGCCAGGGAACGATGGCTCGAACCCAGGTCCCCAGTGTAGATGACTCAGAGTCTCTGACACGGCCATTGTGAACCCCCTGAGAGAGAGAGACACCCAGACCCAGGGCTCGAACCCAGGTCCCCAGTGTAGATGACTCAGTGTCTCTGACACGGCCCTTGTGAACCCCATGAGAGAGACACCCAGACCCAGGGCTCGAACCCAGGATCTCTGTGTCTCTGACACGGCCATTGTGAACCCCCTGAGAGAGAGACACTCAGACCCAGGGCTCGAACCCAGGTCCCCAGTGTCGATGACTCAGTGTCTCTGACACGGCCATTGTGAACTCACAGAGAGAGAAAGACCCAGACCCAGGGCTCGAACCCAGGTCCCCAGTGTCGATGACTCAGAGTCTATTGCGTGGCTCATCGAGTGGAAATTCACAGCAGCAGCAGCCAAAGACTCCGAGCCGCGGGCTGCTGAGGTTGATTCTAAATGTGGAGGGAAAATCCGGAGGACCCCGAGACAAAATCCACGCGACCCACAGAGAGAGAGACGCAGACTCCAAATATACAGCAGCAGCAGCAGGCGTCGTCAGGGTCGGGGTCGAACCCACGACCTCCTGCACACCAGGCGAGGTAGTCAACATCTCCTAGCCACCGTGATGATGATGATGAGAGAGACACGCAAACTCCAACTATACAGCAGCAGCAGGCGTCAGGGTCGGGATAGAACCCACGACCTCCTGTACACCAGGCGAGGTAGTCAACATCTGTGGCCACCGTGATGATGATGATGATGAGAGAGACACGCAGACTCCAAATATACAGCAGCTGTAGGCGTCAGGGTCAGGATGGAACCCACGACCTCCTGCACACCAGGCGAGGTAGTCAACATCTCCTAGCCACCGTGATGATGATGATGATGAGAGAGACACGCAGACTCCAAATATACAGCAGCTGTAGGCGTCAGGGTCAGGATGGAACCCACGACCTCCTGCACACCAGGCGAGGTAGTCAACATCTCCTAGCCACCGTGATGATGATGATGATGAGAGAGACACGCAAACTCCAAATATACAGCAGCTGTAGGCGTCAGGGTCAGGATGGAACCCACGACCTCCTGCACACCAGGCGAGGTAGTCAACATCTCCTAGCCACCGTGATGATGATGATGATGAGAGAGACACGCAGACTCCAAATATACAGCAGCTGTAGGCGTCAGGGTCAGGATGGAACCCACGACCTCCTGCACACCAGGCGAGGTAGTCAACATCTCATAGCCACCATGGAGCCACCCGCAGCGCCGCTGCTGCTGACCCAGCGTCTCGCCTCCTCCTGCACGTGGCGCCGAGACGCGTCCGGGGCCCCTCCCCCCTCCCCCCTCTCTTCTTCTCCCCTCCCTCCTCCTCCACTCTCCCTCCCTCCTCCCCCCCTCCTCCCTCTTCCCCCCCCTACCTTCCTTGTAGTAGCATCTACACGTGTAGATGCTACTACGCGTGTAGCTACTACTACACGCGTAGTAGCTACTACTACACGCGTAGTAGTAGCTACTACTACACGCGTAGTAGTAGCTACTACTACACGCGTAGTAGTAGCTACTACTACACGCGTAGTAGTAGCTACTACTACACGCGTAGTAGTAGCTACTACTACACGCGTAGTAGTAGCTACTACAACACGCGTAGTAGCTACTACTACATGTATTACACATGTAGTAGCTACATATGTAGTACACATGTAGTACCCATGTAGTACACATGTAGTAGCTACGGGCCCCGCACTTTCAAGGCCCCCGCGCTAAACGCTTTCAAGCTATCAATTCCGGTTCAGTGATTCTGCACTTGCTCTATTACGCTAGTACTATACCGCCTTCGACTTTTACAAACGACCGGTGTGTTTAAAGTTAGCAATTTGTCGTACTATTTGGCTGTATAGCAAATGAAAAAATACAATTACTTTACTGGGCAAGCAAATCATTTGCGTGTTTTTAATAGTTATGTTTTTTTTTTAAACGCAGGGCCTCTTTATAACAACACATACACCAGGCTCCGCACCAGCTCCATGCGGCAAACTTCACACGCAGCGAGCGGCTCCAAGTCGCCCTGTGGGACAGGCGACGAAGCCCCCAGAGCGGCGCTGGCGAACAGAATTCGCGGTCGGCTCAGGACGAGGAGCTTTGAAACCTCTCGGGGTCCCGCCGGGATTGCCTCGGGGTGAGCCGCCCGTTTCCTCGCACTGCGCATCAACAATGATCTGGCTCAGAGCATCTTCTAATAATACAAACTCCTCATGGGACCTCCCTTGCCAGGGCCACAAAATGGGAAGAGGTTTCCACTTTTTTCTGGCGACAAAACAGGAGTCGTGTTTAGATCTTGATTTGAGACCTTTTGCGACTGCAGGAATCCATTCTCTTTGGTTCTTAGGGTAAAGTCACGTGGGTAGAAAACATAAAACCAAATAAAAATATGATATATTTTAATTTTGTTACATTTTTGTACCTAAATTTTTTTTTTACATAAATAAAAAATAATTATATATCACCATATATATTTTTTTCTTTAGTTTAATTTTCTACCTACGTGACTTTACCGAAAGAACCAAGAATATCTTAACATCGCTGCTTTGTTGCCAGAAAAAAGGGGAAATCCTATTCCCAATACGAATCATCATCATCATCGTCATCATCGTGGTGGTGGTGGAGGAGCGACTCGTGGTGGTGGTGGTGGAGGAGCGACTCGTGGTGGTGGTGGAGCGACTCGTGGTGGTGGAGAAGCGACTCGTGGTGGTGGTGGTAGTGGTGGTAGTGGTGGTGGAGCGACTCGTCAATAAAAACGAGCGGAGTGCCGGGAAGATGGAAACGCAGCGAGTTGGCACAGTAGGGGGCACAGGTTGTGTGCATCTAGCAGTCATCTCAGTCGACCCATGGCACCACCTGGGTCTGTCCCTTGACAACACAACATACACACACACGACACACACTACACACAACATACACACACACCACACACACACTACACACAACACACACACCACACACACGACACACACCACACACGACACACCACACACACACCATACACACACGCACGACACACAACATACACACACACGACACACACTACACACACACCACACACACACACGACACACACCACACACGACACACCACACACACCATACACACACGACACACACACCACACACAACACACGAGACACACCGCACGTGGCGTTGGTGCTGTATTGTCGTCACGTGTCGCCAACGCCGCTGTTTACAAACATCGAGTCAACGATGGGCACACGAGACAAATAAATAGGGCGCCCCACGGGAGAGAGCCCAGCAAGCTGAGCGAGTTGAGAGAGAGCCTATATTCTTAGGTTTTTTTCACGTAGGTAAAAAATTTTAATTAATAAAAGTAAATTTCGATTTAAAGCTTTCGTGACTGCAGGGATTCATCTTCTTGGTTCTTTCGGTAAAGTCGCGTAGAAGGGAAATAATAAAATAATAAAAAATAAAACATAATAAAATAATTCATTCTCACGACGTTTCGGCCACAACGCAAGCAGCCGTCCTCAGGTGAAAACCAGGTCTGTCGGGGAGACAGCATTCAGACGCCTGAGGACGGCTGCTTGCGTTGTGGCCGAAACGTCGTGAGAATTATTTTATTGTTTTATTTTAATTATTTTATTATTTTCCTTCTACGTGACTTTACCGAAAGAACCAATAAGATAATAAAAGTAAATTAAAATAAAAAATCACGATGTTTCGGAGGCAACACAAGCTTCCATCTTCACCTGAAGACGGAAGCTTGTGTTGCCTCTGAAACGTCGTGATTTTTTTTATTTTATTTTACTTTTATTAATTTTAATTTTTTACCTACGTGACTTTACCGAAAAAACCTAAGAATATAAATCCTTGCAGTCACGAAAGCTTCAAATCTAGAGAGAGCCGAGTTGAGAGAGAGCCGATATCGTGAGCCGAGTGAACGTGACCGCGTTTCCAGTTCACGGAGCCGTCTTTGCCGCTGTGCGTAAATCTAAGTTGTCTTGTGGTTGTTGTTGTTGTTTGACTTGCATCCCACTGGGATTTTTGCACACAGCGTTAGTGTACGGTGATTTTTTCTGCAATATTTTGCTGTCTTTTCTTGGATTTTCTGTTTGCACTCAGTCACTTATTCACTTGAAGATGTTTTCTTGTTCATGTTTTAGTTTTTTGCGGTTGCACCCGATTCAAGAGCCGTATGGCTCACAGGGCTATGTACCTAATACATGAACTTGAACTTGATAAGTCAGCAGCCTTCAGACAATCCCCGCGTCTCCGTCGGCTGTGTGGAACTTCCACATTACTGTGACGGGAGGCCAATGTCGAGAAGACTGTCCGTTCTAGTTGTTAAATGTGACAACACTTCACCATGATAATCTGATGTGCTAGTATCACCATATGATGAGCCAGTGTTTTTAATTCGCTGTCGTTGGCTATCAGGATTGTCATTTAACTCACCGGTGAGTGGGTAGGTGGGTGAGAGATTTAATTTGTGAATTAGTGGGTGGGTGAATGAGTGAATGAGTGAGCAGGTGAGTGAGTGGATGAGTGAGTGGATGAGTGAATGAGTGAGTGGATATGAGTGAAAGAGTGAGTGAATTAGTGGGTGGGTGAGTAAATGAGTGGATGAGCAGGTGAGTGGATGAGTGGATGGCTGAGTGGATATTATGAGTGAGCAGCTGAGTGGCTGAGTGGGTGAGCGAGTGGGCGAGCGAGTGGCCGAGTGAGCGACTGAGTGAGCGTGTGAGCATGCCAGTGAGCGAGTGACTGGGCGACTCGCTGAGTGAGCAAGTGGGTGAGCGACTGAGCGTGTGGGTGAGCGAGTGGGTGAGCGAGTAGGCGAGCGAGTGGGTGAGCGAGTGAGAGACATGTGGACCGTGACGCCAGTCGGATTAAACAGTTTATAGACAACGCTGCGTTCACCAGGGCTGCCTGCTCAGGGATCGAACCCACGGCCCCCTCCCATAGCAGGCGAGGCAGTCAACATCTAGCCCCACGTGCTCCGGTGCCGATCACTTCAATGGCTCCTCCAACCCCTCGGGGTGACACATCCTCTCCGCTGCTCCATATTCTCCCTCCCTTCCTTCCGCTGCGTTGGCCGTCACGGCTCTTCGCTGGCCCAGCAGCCATCGCCCGCCGTGAGGGCGCGGGGAGACGCGCCACGGCCTGCTCAAGCCACGCTGTGCCCCTCCTACCACAACAAGCGCCACAACAACCACCACAACAAGCACCACAACAAGCGCCACAACAACCACCACAACAAACACCACAACAAGCACCACAACAACCACCACAACAAGCGCCACAACAAACACCACAACAAGCACCAACCATCACACTTCAACGCACTCACTCGCTCAACCACCCACTCAGACACTCACCCACCCATTCATACATCAACTCACTAATCCACCCACTCACTCACTCACCTATCCACCCACTCACTCACTCACTCACTAACCTATCCACCCACTCACTCACTAATCCATCCACCCACTCACTGACTAACCCTCCACCCACTCACTGACTAATCCATCCACCCACCCACTCACCCATCCACCCACCCACCGCAGGCCACTTCAACCATCTCCCTGCCGCTCCCCTCGCACCACTCCACTGCGGAAGAGCCTCCTCCTCCTCCACTTCCTCATCCACCACCACCACCACCTCCACCACCTCCTCCTCCTCTCCTCCACCACCACCACCTCCTCCTCCACCACCACCACCTCCTCCTGTCCTCCTGTGCCCTGAGGGTGCTACATTGCTGCACGAGTCTCCCCAAGTTGCTCCCATCCCCCAATCCTCGGGGGGGGTCACAGGTCGGTCGTGTCCACCACGCACTTGATGAACAAGGTGTCGTCCCGCACGTAGGTCTGTTCCGACGAAACTAGGCGGGCGAGGGGGCAGAAGAGGGGGCAGCCGCTGGCCACGTTGAGGTCCCCGGTGGGGCGCTGGAAGGAGGAGGTGGTGGCGTCCGGGCGGAAGGCGTCGACCACGTGGTCACGGCGCGAGCTCTGGTCCAGCAGCATCAGGGTCACCTGGGGAGGGCGCGGGGGGAGGGGAGGAGGGGTCACGGTGGTAGTGTTGGTGACGGTGGTGGTGTTGGTGGTGGTGGTGATGGTGGTGATGGTGGTGGTGGTGTTGGTGGTGGTGATGGTGGCGATGGTGGTGGTGGTGATGGTGGTGGTGATGGTGGTGATGGCGATGACGGTAGCGGTTTACGGTGGTGGTGGTGATGGTGGTGATGGTGGTGATGGTGATGGTGGTGGTGATGGTGGTGGTGGTGTTGGTGGTGGTGGTGATGGTGGTGGTGGTGTTGGTGGTGGTGGTGATGGTGTAGGTGGTGGTGGTGATGGTGTAGGTGGTGGTGGTGATGGTGGCGATGGTGGTGGTGGTGATGGTGGTGGTGATGGTGGTGATGGCGATGACGGTAGCGGTTTACGGTGGTGGTGGTGATGGTGGTGATGGTGGTGATGGTGATGGTGGTGGTGTTGGTGATGGTGGTGTTGGTGGTGGTGGTGATGGTGGTGGTGATGGTGGTGATGGTGGCGATGGTGGTGGTGGTGATGGTGGTGGTGATGGTGGTGATGGCGATGACGGTGGCGGTTTACGGTGGTGATGGTGGTGGTGGTGGTGTTGGTGATGGTGATGATGGTGGCGATGGCAGTGGTGGCGACGATGGTGGCGGTGATGGTGGCGGTGGTGATGGTGGTGATGGTGGTGGTGATGGTGGTGGTGATGGTGGTGGTGGTGATGGTGGCGATGGCGGTGGTGGTGACGATGGTGGCAGCGATGGTTGCTACGACGATGCTGCTACTGCCGCTTTATGATGCTGGCGACGCCACCGCTACTTTAGGATGCTGGCGACGACGGTTGCTATGACAACGGTTGCTACGCTGCTGCCGCTGCCGTCACCTTCTGGCGGAAGGGCCAGCGCAGCGTGGCGTCGTGGTCGCCCCGCATGAGCACGAAGAAGAGCGACAGGTGCGAGTCCTTGCCAGCGCCGTCGCCGCTGGGGTACAGGCGCAGGCACATCTTGTAGCCGTAGCGGCTCGTGAAGAACGCTGCGGCGGGCACACGGGGGGGGGGCACCGATGATGACCGTGGCGGTGGCGGTGGTCGCCGCAGCCACACGGAGAACCAAGGGGCGGCGTAAAGACAACGGCCATCACCACCATCACCACCACGATCACCACGATCACCACCATCACCACGATCACCACCACCACGATCACCACCACCACCATCGTGATAACCAACGTGAGTGTGTGGGTGACGCTGTGCTTTATCCGCCCGGCGCTCCGCTCGTTGTTGTGAGCGTCACTCCTCTGCCCTCCAATTAATTACCACAAAACCACCGACAAAAACACAACAACAACCGCCATTCGCCACTAAGTGGCGGTGACGTCACTACGACGCTTGTGCCAGGCCAAAAAACACACACACACACAAACACCGTGCTCGCTCATCCGTTCCCGGCGCTAGCGCCAATCCACTGCGGTGCCGTGGGCGGCGCTAGCGACCTGGCGAGTAGACGGCGAGCTGGCGCCCGCTGGCGGCGTCGCTGCGGCGCCGGCCCACGTCGCCGACCCGCCACACGAAGGAGCCGTCGTGGGACGAGAGCTCCAGGGTCGAGAGGCGCAGCGTCATGTCGGCCAGCGCCACCTCCCGCAGCGCCAGCTTGCGCTCCAGCGCTTGCATCTGGGTAGGGGGGGGGGGGCAGAGAGAGCGGTGGCGCCGCGATTAGCACCGCGCTACAAAGAGCTCCCCGGGCGGAGAGGCCGAGTTGGATTCCGGCTCATGCCGCCAACAGCGGTGACGGATTTGTGTTCACAGAGTGAGTGAGCGTGAGTGTGTGTGGAGTGTGTACCACAGAGTGAGTGAGCGTGAGTGTGTGTGTCCATGATGACAGTGGCATTGCCCTTGTCGGCTGAGAGGATGACAATATAAACAATGTTTATTTTACTAGGCAAGGCCCACTGAGCTATGCAGGTCTTTGTAGAAGCGACCAGGCCACAAGTGATAGCTGAAAGGAAGTGGCTTGCCATCATCGTATGGAAATGTATAGCAGCAGCCCAATACTCTTAAACGCATGTTTCATAGATGTGGAGGGGAAAACCGCAGGGCCCGGAGAAAAGTCCACGTGAGAAAAGTCCAAATATACAGCAGCAGCAGGCGTCAGGGTCGGGATTGAACCCACGACCTCCTGTAGACCAGGCGAGGTAGTTAACATCTCCTGGCCACCGTGATGATGATGAGAGAGAGACGCAAACTCCAAATACACAGCAGCAGGCGTCAAGGTCAGGATGGAACCCACGACCTCATGCACACCAGGCGAGGTAGTCAACATCTCCTAGCCACCGTGATGATGATGATGAGAGAGAGACGCAAACTCCAAATACACAGCAGCAGGCGTCAAGGTCAGGATGGAACCCACAACCTCATGCACACCAGGCGAGGTAGTTAACATCTCCTAGCCACCGTGATGATGATGATGATGAGAGAGGGACGCAAACTCCAAATACACAGCAGCAGGCATCAAGGTCAGGATGGAACCCACGACCTCATGCACACCAGGCGAGGTAGCTAACAGCTCGCGGCCGCAGCGTCACAAGGCGAGAGGGGGGAGCTTCGTCTGTGAGGGTGGAGAGGGTGAAGGGGGTGAGGGGGGAGGGTGAAGGGGGTGAGGGGGGAGGGTGAAGGGGGTGAGGGGGGTGGGTGAGGGGCACGATACGAGATTTAACTTGGGGGCACTTCCTGTACAGAGGGGGGCGGGCGGCACTTCCTGGTAGAGAGGGGCGATAATTCCTGTAAATAGGCGCGGCACTTTCTGTCAAGAGAGGCGGGACTTCCTGAAGAGAGGTGTGTGCGTGTGTACGTGTGTGTACGTGTACGTGTGTGTATACGTGTGTGAAGGTGTAGGTGTGTGTACGTGTGTGTGTATGTGTGTGTGTGTACGTGTGTGTGTACGTGTGTGTGTGTGTATGTGTGTGTGTGTACGTGTGTGTGTACGTGTGTGTGTGTGTAGGTGTCGTGGTGACGTCACCGCCACTTAGTGGCGAATGGCGGTTGTTGTGTGTAGGTGTGTGTGTAGGTGTGTGTGTAGGTGTGTGTACGTGTGTGTTTGTACGTGTGTGTGTACGTGTGTGTGTACGTGTGTGTGTGTGTAGGTGGAGTTGGAGACGCTGCTGCTGAGACTGGAGCGTGCCACTAAGAGGTGGGGCCTTACCATCAGCCCCACCAAAACTAAGCACCTGCCTGGGTATTTTGTACCATCGGACACTCCACCCCCACAACTCCCAATTGGTGATGGGGCAGTTGTGGAGAGAGTGGAGAGTTTCCCATACCTGGGCAGTGTGCTTATGACCGGCTCCAGTCTATCAGCAGAGGTCTCACTCCGAATCAGTCGAGCGGCAATATCTTTTCATCGGTTGCGTAACGCTGTGTGGAAGCTACCTGGTCTGTCGCTCCGCACGAAGCTTCAGGTCTTCTCGGCCACGGTCATTCCCTCCCTTCTCTACGCTTGCGAGACGTGGACCCCCCTGGTGGAGCATCTTCGCCGGTTGGAAACATTTAGGCTGGCCTGCCTACGATCCATCCTGGGTTTAACCAGGCTGGATTGTGTGAGGAGCTCACAAATCCTTGAAAGATCTGGGCAAAGTCCCATCAGTGAGCTCCTCCGGCAGGCAAGGCTGCGTTGGCTGGGTCATGTAGCCCGCATGCCCAGCCACCGCATGCCTAAACAGCTTTTGTTCGGCCGGATCGAGGGGGCTAGACGGGCGCGGCACGGGCTGGAGAAGAGATGGAGTGATGTGGTACAGGAGGACGTGGAGCTGAGTGGACTTGCCGATGACTGGTACCAGCGGTGTCAAGATCGGCCTCAGTGGAGGAGGCTCGTGAAGGACGCTACTGGGCAGTTGGAGGCAGTCGTCCTCCAACAACAACGGAGGGCGGAGGAGCGACGCTCACAACAACGAGCGGAGCGCCGGGTGGCTAAAGCACAGCAAGTTGGCACAGTAGGGGGCACAGGTGGTGCATCAGCCAGTCATCTCGGTCATCTCGGTCATCCGACCCGTGGCACCTGCTGGGTCTGCCCCGTGACCTCCTGCCAGCGGGCTTTCGACACTTCACGTGGCCTCAAGGTGCACTTGGCCTGGCACAAGCATCGTGGTGACGTCACCGCCACTTAGTGGCGAATGGCGGTTGTTGTTGTTGTTGTGTGTATGTGTGTGTGTACGTGTGTGTGTACGTGTGTAGGTGTGTGTGTAGGTGTGTGTGTGTGTATGTACGTGTGTGTATCGGTGTGTGTGTACGTGTGTAGGTGTGTGTGTGTGTATGTACGTGTGTGTATCGGTGTGTGTGTACGTGTGTAGGTGTGTGTGTGTGTATGTACGTGTGTGTATCGGTGTGTGTGTACGTGTGTAGGTGTGTGTGTGTGTATGTACGTGTGTGTATCGGTGTGTGTGTACGTGTGTAGGTGTGTGTGTGTGTATGTACGTGTGTGTATCGGTGTGTGTGTACGTGTGTAGGTGTGTGTGTGTGTATGTACGTGTGTGTATCGGTGTGTGTGTACGTGTGTAGGTGTGTGTGTGTGTATGTACGTGTGTGTATCGGTGTGTGTGTACGTGTGTAGGTGTGGTGTGTGTGTATGTACGTGTGTGTATCGGTGTTGTGTGTACGTGTGTAGGTGTGTGTGTGTGTATGTACGTGTGTGTATCGGTGTGTGTGTACGTGTGTAGGTGTGTGTGTGTGTATGTACGGTGTGTATCGGTGTGTGTGTACGTGTGTAGGTGTGTGTGTGTGTATGTACGTGTGTGTATCGGTGTGTGTGTACGTGTGTAGGTGTGTGTGTGTGTATGTACGTGTGTGTATCGGTGTGTGTGTACGTGTGTAGGTGTGTGTGTGTGTATGTACGTGTGTGTATCGGTGTGTGTGTACGTGTGTAGGTGTGTGTGTGTGTATGTACGTGTGTGTATCGGTGTGTGTGTACGTGTGTAGGTGTGTGTGTGTGTATGTACGTGTGTGTATCGGTGTGTGTGTACGTGTGTAGGTGTGTGTGTGTGTATGTACGTGTGTGTATCGGTGTGTGTGTACGTGTGTAGGTGTGTGTGTGTGTATGTACGTGTGTGTATCGGTGTGTGTGTACGTGTGTAGGTGTGTGTGTGTGTATGTACGTGTGTGTATCGTGTGGTGTGTACGTGTGTAGGTGTGTGGTGTGTATGTACGTGTGTGTATCGGTGTGTGTGTACGTGTGTAGGTGTGTGTGTGTGTATGTACGTGTGTGTATCGGTGTGTGTGTACGTGTGTAGGTGTGTGTGTGTGTATGTACGTGTGTGTATCGGTGTGTGTGTACGTGTGTAGGTGTGTGTGTGTGTATGTACGTGTGTGTATCGGTGTGTGTGTACGTGTGTAGGTGTTGTGTGTGTGTATGTACGTGTGTGTATCGGTGTGTGTGTACGTGTGTAGGTGTGTGGTGTGTGTATGTACGTGTGTGTATTCGGTGTGTGTGTACGTGTGTAGGTGTGTGTGTGTGTATGTACGTGTGTGTATCGGTGTGTGTGTACGTGTGTAGGTGTGTGTGTGTGTATGTACGTGTGTGTATCGGTGTGTGTGTACGTGTGTAGGTGTGTGTGTGTGTATGTACGTGTGTGTATCGGTGTGTGTGTACGTGTGTAGGTGTGTGTGTGTGTATGTACGTGTGTGTATCGGTGTGTGTGTACGTGTGTAGGTGTGTGTGTGTGTATGTCGTGTGTAGGTGTATGTGTGTGTGTATGTACGTGTGTTATCGGTGTGTGTGTACGTGTGTAGGTGTGTGTGTGTGTATGTACGTGTGTTTATCGTGTGTGTGTACGTGTGTAGGTGTGTGTGTGTGTATGTACGTGTGTGTATCGGTGTGTGGTGTACGTGTGTAGGGTGTGGTGTGGTGTATGTACGTGTGTGTATCGGTGTGTGTGTCCGTGTGTAGGTGTGTGTGTGTGTATGGTACGTGTGTGTATCGGTGTGGGGTGTACGTGTGTAGGGTGTGTGTGTGTGTATGTACGTGTGTGTATCGGTGTGTGTGTACGTGTGTAGGTGTGTGTGTGTGTATGTACGTGTGTGTATCGGTGTGTGTGTACGTGTGTAGGTGTGTGTGTGTGTATGTACGTGTGTGTATCGGTGGTGTGTGTACGTGTGTAGGTGTGTGTGTGTGTATGTACGTGTGTGTTATCGGTGTGTGTGTACGTGTGTAGGTGTGTGTGTGTATGTAGTGTGTGTATCGGTGTGTTGTGTAACGTGTGTAGGTGTGTGTTGTGTGTATGTACGTGTGTGTTATCGGTGTGTGTGTTACGTTGTGTAGGTGTGTGTGTGTGTATGTACGTGTGTGTATCGGTGTGTGTGTACGTGTGTAGGTGTGTGTGTGTGTATGTACGTGTGTGTATCGGTGTGTGTGTACGTGTGTAGGTGTGTGTGTGTGTATGTACGTGTGTGTATCGGTGTGTGTGTACGTGTGTAGGTGTGTGTGTGTGTATGTACGTGTGTGTATCGGTGTGTGTGTACGTGTGTAGGTGTGTGTGTGTGTATGTACGTGTGTGTATCGGTGTGTGTGTAGTGTGTAGGTGTGTGTGTGTGTATGTACGTGTGTGTATCGGTGTGTGTGTACGTGTGTAGGTGTGTGTTGTGTGTATGTACGTGTGTTGTATCGGTGTGTGTGTACGTGTGTAGGTGTGTGTGTGTGTATGTACGTTGTGTGTATCGGTGTGTGTGTACGTGTGTAGGTGTGTGTGTGTGTATGTACGTGTGTGTATCGGTGTGTGTACGTGTGTAGGTGTGTGTGTGTGTATGTACGTGTGGTATCGGTGTGTGTGTACGTGTGTAGGTGTGTGTGTGTGTATGTACGTGTGTGTATCGGTGTGTGTGTACGTGTGTATCGGTGTGTGTGTGTGTATGTACGTGTGTGTATCGGTGTGTGTGTACGTGTGTAGGTGGTGTGTGTGTATGTACGTGTGTGTATCGGTGTGTGTGTACGTGTGTGTATCGGTGTGTGTGTACGTGTGTAGGTGTGTGTGTGTGTATGTACGTGTGTGTATCGGTGTGTGTGTACGTGTGTGTATCGGTGTGTGTGTACGTGTGTAGGTGTGTGTGTGTGTATGTACGTGTGTGTATCGGTGTGTGTGTACGTGTGTAGGTGTGTGTGTGTGTATGTACGTGTGTGTATCGGTGTGTGTGTACGTGTGTGTATCGGTGTGTGTGTGTGTATGTACGTGTGGTTGTTGTGTGTGTGTACGTGGTAGGTGTGTGTGTGTGTATGTAGTGGTTATCGGTGTGTGTGTACGTGTGTGTATCGGTGTGTGTGTACGTGTGTAGGTGTGTGTGTGTGTATGTACGTGTGTGTATCGGTTGTGTGTGTACGTGTGTGTATCGGTGTGTGTGTAGTGTGTAGGTGTGTGTGTGTGTATGTACGTGTGGTTCGGTGTGTGTGTAGTGGTGTATCGGTGTGTGTGTACGTGTGTAGGTGTGTGTGTGTGTATGTACTGTGTGTGTATCGGTGTGTGTGTACGTGTGTGTATCGGTGTGTGTGTGTGTATGTACGTGTGTAGGTGTGTGTGTGTGTATGTACGTGTGTGTATCGGTGTGTGTGTACGTGTGTGTATCGGTGTGTGTGTAGGTGTGTGGGCGGAGCCAGGCTAAACGGGAGAGGAATGGCGGAGTGGTGGTGGTGGTGGTGGTGGTTGAGTGGTGGTGGAGTGGTGGTGGTGGTGGTTGAGTTGGGGTGGAGTGGTGGTGGAGTGGTTGGTGGTGGTGGTGGAGTGGTGGTGGTGGTTGAGTGGTGGTGGAGTGGTGGTGGTGGTGGTTGAGTGGTGGTGGCGGTGGCGGCGGTGGCGGTGGTGGTGGCGGTGGCCGAGTGGTGGTGGTGGCCGCACCTTGCCGGTGAGCGTGGCGACGGCTCCACGCTCGGCCTGGCGCCGCGTGTGGGCCTCCCGTGCGGCGGCGGAGCAGCGCTCGGCCTGGCGGTCCAACGCGGCCACGGTGGCCTCCAGCGGGCCCAGCGAGCGCTCCAGCCTGGCGCAGCGCTGCTCCAGCGCCGCCGGAACCACCGCCGCCAACGCCGCCGCCTCCTTCCCGTCGCCTGGCGCCGCTGTCAACCGCACCGGCGAAATCGAAAATAGAAATTAATCTACGTAACAAAGGCTCATTCCTAGCAGCGGCTTTAACCGCACCACCTCTACATAACAAAAGGCTCAGTCCCATGTACATGCACCTTTACATCAGCCGCACCTTAACAACTCTTGGAACCTCCCAGTTCAACCAGTCTACACAACAAAGACTCATTCCTAACAGCGGTTTCAGCCGCACCACCTCTACATAACAAAAGGCTCAGTCCCATGTACATGCACCTTTACATCAGCCGCACCTTAACAACTCTTGGAACCTCCCAGTTCAACCAGTCTACACAACAAAGACTCATTCCTAACAGCGGTTTCAGCCGCACCACCTCTACATAACAAAAGGCTCAGTCCCATGTACACGCACCTTTACATCAGCCGCACCTTAACAACTCTTGGAACCTCCCAGTTCAACCAGTCTACACAACAAAGGCTCATTCCTAGCAGCGGCTTCAGCCGCACCGAACCTCACAATAATAATATCCAGGGGCCTACCTTGGCTCCTCCCACCCTCAACCAGTATATATATACAAGGACGGTTTTCTTGGAATTTCTCATTTACTTGATACAGCAGTCGTGCTGTGACGGTTCCACCTGAAGACGGAAGCTTGTGTTACCTCCAAAACGTCGTGATTTTTATTTAAATTTTATTTTACTTTAATTAATTTAAATTTAAATTTTTTACCTACGTGACTTTACCGAAAAAACCTAAGAATAGAAATGAGGTGAATTAAAAAAACTTGTGGCGCGCTCGCTCACGAACTTATCGTTGATAAGCTATCGAGATCACAGATTCCCTGCTCACAATCACTATAATTGGAATGTAAAAACTATTTTATTATTTTACCAGCTAAGGCTCTTTTTTAGAAGCTACCTGGCTCTCACAAATGATAGAAGCTCAAGGATTTGGCTTATCACGTTTATCTAGATAATATATTAAGGGGAAATTTGTGAATGTGTGTGTCTGTTCGAAATGTTTAGCGTACTTCCCGACATGCAACAAACTTGAAATTTGGCATGTGGGCAGCTTCCAGACTGTACACAATGCAAAAAGAATAAAAATAGACTTTAGTATTTTGGGGGGGGGGGCACAATAATGGATGTATTTTGCACGTCAAGTGAGCGGTGACGTCACATCTGTGATGTCACCCGCACGCGGCAGCGACAAGAATCCAAGCCGGGCAGTCTTAGCGAGTTTGCGCATCAAACAGAAACGGGAGTGAAGTGAAACCGCCGGCTCCTCACCGGCTCCTCCTTCAGCCCCGGCGGCCGCCGACGGCCTCCCGACACGTCTGGCGGCCCCCCCCCCGCCCCTCGCCGCCACCGCCACCTCCAGCCGGGACAACCTCAGCGCCAGCTCGGACAGGCGGCCGTCCGAAGCCGGATCCAACTGCGGGACCGATGCCCCCGCCGCAGCTGCAGCCGCACCACCACCACTGCCGCCGCCACCGCCGCCGTCACCGGCTGCTTCGGCGGTGGCGGCGCAAGCGGCCTGAGTCGGCAGCAGGCCGTGCAAGCGCAGCAGGAAGGAGCGCAGGATGGCGACGTGGGAGGCGGTCGCCAGCTGCTCGTGTCCCGCGAGCTTCTCAGCCTCGGCCTGCTCGGCGGGGAGTTGGCGAGTTAGCGGCGACCAGCGCGGGAAGTTGCTGCTGCTGCTGCTTGTCTACTGGCGGAAACCGAGCCGTGCCGTGCTGACGTCGCCAGCGCGGCGGGTGATGCGGTGGACGAGCGGAGACACGCGTGGGTGACGTGGTGGACGGGCAGAGGAGCGTGTGGGTGACGCGGTGGACGGGTGGAGGAGCGCGTGGGTGACGTGGTGGACAAGCGGAGACACGTGTGGGTGACGTGGTGGAGGGGTGGAGACACGCGTGGGTGACGTGGTGGACGGGTGGAGGAGTGCGTGGGTGACGTGGTGGACGGGCGGAGGAGCGTGGTGGGCGAGGCCGCGTGCTATCGCCGTGACGCACCTGGAAGGGGCACCCGATGTCTGCGAAGCGGCAGGGCCGCTTGACGCGGAGGCACGACTTCTCATGCAGAGGCAGCTGGGAGGGCGGCAAAAAAAACAAGTTCCAGACGGCCACGCAGCCACGTTTCCACCACCACCCCCCCTTGGAGCCTTTCAAGGGCCGCTGCAGGCGCCCTGCGCCGCACAGGAGCTGCGGGTGTGCAGAACGCGCACACGCCCACACGTACACACACACGTACACACACACACGTACACACACACGTACACACACACGTACACACGTACACACACACACATACACACATGCACACACACACGTACACATACACACACGTACATACACACACGAACACATACACACGTACACACACACGCACACACACGTACACACACACGTATGTACACAAACACGTACATACACACGTATGTACACAAACACGTACATACACACTCGTACATACACACACACTGATACACGCACACTCGTACACACACATGTACACTCGTACACACATGTACAGACACGCGTACATGCACGTACACACGTACCCACGCACGGACACATACACACATACATACACACACGTACACACACACGTACATACACACACGTACATACACACGCATGGACACACACACGTACATACACACGTATGTACACAAACACGTACATACACACTCATACATACACATACACTGATACACGCACACTCGTACACACACACGTACACACGTACACACGCACGTACACACGTACACACGCACGTACACACGTACACACGCACGTACACACGCACGTACACACGCACGTACACACGCACGTACGCACGTACACACGCACGTACACACGCACACACGCACGTACACACGCACACACGCACGTACACACGCACACACGCACGTACACACGTACACATGCACACACGCACGTACACACGCACACACGCACGTACACACGTACACACGTACCCACGCACGTACACACGTACACACGTACACACACACGTACACACGCACGTACACACGTACACACGCACGTACACACGCACGTACACACGTACACACGCACGTACACACGTACACACGCACGTACACACGTACACACGCACGTACACACGTACACATGCACGTACACACGCACACACGCACGTACACACGTACACACGCACGTACACACGCACACACGCACGTACACACGTACACACACACGTACACACGCACACACGCACGTACACACGCACACACGCACGTACACACGCACACACGCACACACGCACGTACACACGTACACACGCACGTACACAGGTACACATGCACGTACACACGCACGTACACACGTACAGTCGCACGTACACACGTACACACGCACGTACACACGTACACACGCACGTACACAGGTACACATGCACGTACACACGTACACACGCACGTACACACGTACAGTCGCACGTACACACGTACACACGCACGTACACACGTACACACGCACGTACACAGGTACACATGCACGTACACACGTACACACGCACGTACACACGTACAGTCGCACGTACACACGTACACACGCACGTACACACGTACACACGCACGTACACAGGTACACATGCACGTACACACGTACACACGCACGTACACACGTACAGTCGCACGTACACACGTACACACGCACGTACACACGTACACACGCACGTACACAGGTACACATGCACGTACACACGTACACACGCACGTACACACGTACAGTCGCACGTACACACGTACACACGCACGTACACACGTACACACGCACGTACACAGGTACACATGCACGTACACACGTACACACGCACGTACACACGTACAGTCGCACGTACACACGTACACACGCACACACGCACGTACACACGCACACACGCACGTACACACGTACACACGCACGTACACACGTACACACGCACGTACACACGTACACACGCACGTACACACGCACGTACACACGTACACATGCACGTACACACGTACACATGCACGTACACACGTACACACGCACGTACACACGTACACACGCACGTGCACACGCACACACGCACGTACACACGCACACATGCACGTACACACGCACACACGCACGTACACACGCACACACGCACGTACACACGCACACACGCACGTACACACGCACACACGCACGTACCTTCTCTCTGGGTATCTTGCGCTTCCCGCACGCAGTGCAGGTCGTGGGGAACTTTGGGCAGGTGAGGTCGTGCTCCTAAAACACAAAAGCATCAACCCCCGGTGTAGCCTCACAGGCTGTCGGGGCAAGAGCCGATCCCGACCCTGACGCCCGCTGTATATTGCGTGTGTGTGTACGTGTGTGAGTGTACGTGTGTGTGTGTATGTGTGTGTGTACGTGTGTGAGTGTACGCGTGTGAGTGTACGTGTGTGTGTGTGCGTGTGAGTGCACGTGTGTGTGTGTACGTGTGTGTGTGTGTACGTGTGTGTGTACGTGTGAGTGTATGTGTACGTTTGTGTATACGTGTGTGTGTGTACGTGTGAGTGTACGTGTGTGTGTGTACGTGTGTGTGTACATGTGTGTAAACGTGTGTGTGTGTACGTGTGAGTGTACGTGTGTGTGTGTGTACGTGTGTGTGTGTACATGTGTGAGTGTACGTGTGTGTGTGTACGTGTGTGTGTGTGTACGTGTGTGAGTGTACGTGTGTGAGTGTACGTGTGTGTGTGTGTACGTGTGAGTGTACGTGTGTGTGTGTACATGTGTGTGTGTGTACGTGTGTGTGTGAGTGTACGTGTGTGAGTGTACGTGTGTGAGTGTACGTGTGTGTGCGCATTCTGCACACCGGCAGCTCCTGTGCGGTGCAGGGTGCCCGGCAGTGCCTGCAAGGCGCTGTGCGTGCGGGGCAGCTCTTCTGGGCGTGCTCCGCCAACTCGCGGAGTCGCACGCGGCCACCACACGCAGGGCACGCGGCCCAGCGGAGCTCACAAGACGACTCGTGACCCTAGCACACACACACGCACGTACACACACACGCACGTACATGTACACACACACATGTACACACATGCACACACACACGTACACACACGCACACACACACGTACACACACACACACGTACACACACACACACGTACACACACACACACGTACACACACACACGTACACACACACGTACACACGCACACACACACGTACACACACACGCACACACATGTACACACACACACGTACACACACACGTACACACACACATGTACAAACACGAACAAAACAATAACAACCGCCGTTGGCCACTAAGTGGCGGTGACATCACCACGGCACTTGTGCCAGGCTATGTGCACGTTAAGGCCACGTCAAGTGTCGAACATCCACTGGCAGGTCACGGGACAGACCCAGGTGCCACAGGTTGACTGAGATGAGTGGTCGATGCACCAGCTGTGCCCCCTACTGTGCCAACTTGTTGTGCTTTAGCCACCCGGCGCTCCGCTCGTTGTTGTGAGCGTCGCTCCGCTGCCCTCTGTTGTTGTTGGAGGGCGACTGCCTCCAACTGCCCAGTAGCGTCCTTCACGAGCCTCCTCCACAGAGGTCGATCTTGACACCGCTGGTACCAGTCATCAGCAAGTTCACTCAGCTCCACGTTTTCTTGTACTACATCACTCCATCTCTTCTCTAGCCCGTGCCGCACCCCTTTAGCTCTTTCTGGCCGAACAAAAGCTGTTTGGGCATGCGGTGGCTGGGCATGCGGGCTACATGACCCAGCCATCGCAGCCTTGCCTGCCGGAGGAGCTCACCGATGGGACTTTGTCCAGATCTTTCAAGGATTTGTGAGCTCCTCATACAATTCAGCCTGCAGGTTAAACCCAGGATGGATCGCAGGCAGGCCAGGCTGAATGTTTCTAAATGGCGAAAATGTTCCATTAGGGGGGGTCCACGTTTCGCAAGCGTAGACAAGGAGGGGAAAATAAAAGACCCAAAGCTTCGTGAGGAGTGACAGACCAGGTAGCTTCCACACAGCATTACACAGCTGATGAAAATATATTGCCGCTCGACTGATTTGGAGTGAGACCTCTGCTGTTAAACTGGAGCCGGTCATAAGCACACTGCCCAGGTATGGGAAACTTGCCACTCCCTCCACGACTGCCCCATCACCAATAGGGGAGTTGAGAAGGTGGAGTGTTTGATGGCACAAAATACCCAGGCAGGTGCTTAGTTTTGGTGGCGCTGATGGTAAGGCCCCACCTCTTAGTGACACGCTCCAGTCTAAGCAGCAGCGCCTCCAACTCCTCTGAATGAGCAGCAATCACCAAATCATCGGCATACATAACATGGTTGACCAATAGGAAGCCATCCCTCGATCGCTCCCGGGCATCGATCAGCCTCCCATAATATCTGTACCAGATAGAGATTCCTCCGATACAGCAATGGAAGGCTTTTCAAACTACGTGGTCAAAAAAATGTTAAATAATGTAGGAGCCAGAGGACATCCCTGTCGCACCCCAAGGCGAAGAGGGAATGGCTCCGACTCCCGGCCACGCAGCTTTACCCAGACTCTGGATCGCCTTCCGTGCTTCAACAGATGGCACTCCAGCCAGCTACTCACAGAGGGTCACTACTTCTTCCAATATTTGAGGCACCGCAGCCTCAGCAGGGTCATCCCCACATTGCCCCATGATGTTTTCAGGACTGTGGGATTTCCCCTCCCTCAAAATCCTACAAAAATGCTCACCAAACCTGCAAACCTGTTCCTGGGATTGGAGATCAGATCAGGATGGTGATAGGTGTGGTGCCGCAAGTAACTTTTTTGATGGAATTGACGAGTGATTTATGATCATGGGCTACTGAGGCAGATGCCATCTCCTCAGCAGCCCGTGATGACCAGTCATCCTTGCAGCGCGTCACGGCTCTCCGAACCTCCGAGCGAAGGCTGCGGTAAGCCTCTTCATTCACCGACGTGGGATGCTGTAGACGATGAGAGTGGGCCTGTCGCTTTTTCTCAGCGAGCCAGAACACTTCCTCTGTCAGCCAGGGTCTCTGGGGAGGTCTGGACCGCGTATCAAAAGCAGCCGCTGCAGCTGCATGATCCACAGTCCTAAACCTCGCCCATTTACCCTCGACATCAGGAGGAGTGGGGGACGATGCCAACCCCAGCTGCAAGCGATGATGAAATTCTCGCTTGAAACTTTCATCAACTAGCTGAGGCCAGGCCACTGTGGGTTTGAATGGGGTCCTAGATGGACATCCACCACTGGAATTGAATAATGGCAGGGGCATCTTACAGATGACAAACCGATGGTCAGTGGTGGGCAGATCAGCTCCACGGTAGGTCCTGGTGTCAAGGACATGAGCCCGCATCTGCTGCTCTATCACGATGTAGTCCAGCAGATGTTCTTGCTTGGACCCGGCATGCATCCACGTTTTGTAGATGCGCCGATGCCGGAACAGCGTGTTGGTAATTACAAGCCCATGGGCTACACAGAAGTCTAGCAGCCTCCTACCCTTGTTATTGAGCTGATCTGGCCCATGCCTTCCAGTGCGGTAACCACCACAAACACAAAGATCCCCTGCATAGCCTTAACAGACTGTTGGAGCAAGTGCTGTTAATGAGCACCTATGAAGGCCGGAACGGCACACGAGGGGGTGGGTGGCCAGCACCACGCCCAACCGCCTTTGTTTCCCCAGTGGCAATGTTTACACACCGCACCAGGTACTCATTTGAGGCTGAGTCGATGTAGGAAAGGCCCAGGACTGGTTCAAATAATCGTCACTGGTGTTGGCCGTGAGCGGGTTTCGAAGTCGGGTCGGCGGGTTCATAGCGCAGTGCACTAACCACTACACTACCGCTCCCCACAACTGTACACACACACGTACACATACACGTAGTACACACACATATACACACACACACACATCTACACACACACATATATACACACACACATATACACACGACAGCAAATGAGCTGTCTCTACCCTGGTCTCTCCTTGAACTCATCCACTCACTCACTCACACTCACTCACACTCACTCACTCACACACTCACTCACCCACTTACTCACTCACTCACCCACTCACTGACCCACTCACTCACCCACCCACTCACCCAGCAAATGAGCCGTCTCTATCCTGGTCTCTCCTTGAACTCATCCACTCACTCACTCACACTCACTCACACTCACTCATCCACTCACTCACTCACTCACACTCACTCACTCACACTCACTCACACACTCACTCACCCACTTACTCACTCACCCACTTACTCACTCACCCACTTACTCACTCACTCACCCACTCACTGACTCACACACTCACTCACTCACCCACCCACCCACTTATCCATTCAAACGCTCACTCTGTAGAACACAAATTCCACACACATTTCCAGAAGGAGACGAGCGGAGGGACGAGCGGTGGGGCGAGCGGAGAGACGAGCGGAGGGGCGAGCGGAGGGGCGAGCGGAGGGACGAGCGGAGGGACGAGCGGAGGGACGAGCGGAGGGGCGAGCGGAGGGCGAGCAGAGGGCGAGCGGAGGGCGAGCGGAGGGCGAGCGGAGGGACGATCAGAGGGGCGAGCGGAGGGGCGTTGACCGCTCACTCACATCGTAGTCTCTCACGATGCCGGACCACGAGCAGCCCGGGTTGGTGCAGCGAGCGGGGAGTTGGTCCACCTCACGGCGAGTCGCCCGGTCAGGGAAACACTGGTGGACAACGCAAGGGGGATGAGCGGCAGCTGTTGTTGTTGTCATCGTTGTGGTGGTTGTGGGAGATATTGCGTCTGTGATGGTCACTGGGGCTGTGCAGTGCGTGGTGAGGCTGTTGTGGTGGTGATAGTTGTGGTGGTGGTGGCATTGTGTGGGTGCAATGATTCTTGTGGTGGTGGTGGCATTGTGTGGGTGCAATGATTCTTGTGGTGGTGGTGGTGGCATTGTGTGGGTGCAATGATTCTTGTGGTGGTGGTGGCATTGTGTGGGTGCAATGATTCTTGTGGTGGTGGTGGTGGTGGCATTGTGTGGGTGCAATGATTCTTGTGGTGGTGGTGGTGGCATTGTGTGGGTGCAATGATTCCTGTGGTGGTGGTGGTGGTGGCATTGTGTGGGTGCAATGATTCTTGTGGTGGTGGTGGTGGCATTGTGTGGGTGCAATGATTCTTGTGGTGGTGGCATTGTGTGGGTGCAATGATTCTTGTGGTGGTGGTGGTGGCATTGTGTGGGTGCAATGATTCTTGTGGTGGTGGTGGCATTGTCTGGATGCAATGATTCTTGTGGTGGTGGTGGCATTGTGTGGGTGCAATGATTCTTGTGGTGGTGGTGGTGGCATTGTGTGGGTGCAATGATTCTTGTGGTGGTGGTGGTGGTGGCATTGTGTGGGTGCAATGATTCTTGTGGTGGTGGTGGTGGTGGCATTGTGTGGGTGCAATGATTCTTGTGGTGGTGGTGGCATTGTGTGGATGCAATGATTCTTGTGGTGGTGGCATTGTGTGGGTGCAATGATTCTTGTGGTGGTGGTGGCATTGTGTGGGTGCAATGATTCTTGTGGTGGTGGTGGCATTGTGTGGATGCAATGATTCTTGTGGTGGTGGTGGCATTGTGTGGGTGCAATGATTCTTGTGGTGGTGGTGGTGGCATTGTGTGGGTGCAATGATTCTTGTGGTGGTGGTGGTGGTGGCATTGTGTGGGTGCAATGATTCTTGTGGTGGTGGTGGTAATGGCATTGTGTGGGTGCAATGATTCTTGTGGTGGTGGTGGTGGCATTGTGTGGGTGCAATGATTCTTGTGGTGGTGGTGGTGGCATTGTGTGGGTGCAATGATTCTTGTGGCGGTGGTGGTAGTGGTGGCATTGTGTGGGTGCAATGATTCTGGTGGTGGTGGTGGTTGTGGTGGCATTGTGTGGGTGCAATGATTATTGTGGTGGTGGTGGTGGTGATGGCATTGTGTGGGTGCAATGATTCTTGGGGTGGTGGTGGTGGTGGCATTGTGTGGGTGCAATGATTTTTGTGGTGGTGGTGGTTGTGGTGGTGGTGGTGGCATTGTGTGGGTGCAATGATTCTTGTGGTGGTGGTGGTAGTGGTGGTGGCATTGTGTGGGTGCAATGATTCTTGTGGTGGTGGTGGTAGTGGTGGTGGCATTGTGTGGGTGCAATGATTCTTGTGGTGGTGGTGGTAGTGGTGGTGGCATTGTGTGGGTGCAATGATTCTTGTGGTGGTGGCGATTGTTGTGGCGTGTCACCTGGTTGTTGGGCGACGAGTACAATTCCTCTTCGTGAGTTCCTTCTTCCTGACAACGAGGGCACAACCATTGCTCTGGCCTGCGGGAGCAACAACCACAACAACCTCAACAACCGTATAATACAATCACCTCCCTCGGCTCAAGCTCCCCCCCTCTCCCCACTCACGCACAAAGATCCCCTATATAGCCTTGTCAGACTGGTGGGGCAAGTGCTGTTAGCAAGCACCTATGAAGGCTGGAACGGTACACGAGGGGGTGGGTGGCAAGCACCACGCCAGACCGCCTTTGTCTCCCTAGTGGCAATGTTTACACACCGCACCAGGTACTCATTTGAGGCCGAGTCGACCTAGGGGAAGCCCGGGACCGGTTCAGATAATCGTCACTGGTGTTAGCCGTGATACGAAATGGAACCCGGGTCGCCAGGTTCGTAGTGCTACACTACCGCTCCCCTCACACACACACACATACACACACACAGACACACACACAGACAACAACAACCGCCATTCGCCACTAAGTGGCGGTGACGTCACCACGACGCTTGTGCCAGGCCATGTGCACCTTGAGGCCACGTGAAGTGTCGAACGCCCGCTGGCAGGAGGTCACACACACACAGCCATACATACAGACACACACACGTGAGTGTACCCCCCCCCCCCACCTCGTGGCCAGCTTGCTGTGGCACCCGTGGCAGAAACGGTGGCCGCAGGGCGCCTGCACGGCCGCCCTGAGCAGGCGGCCGCAGGCGCCGCACAGGTACTTGAAGTCGGGCTCGTGCCGCAGCACCTCGAGCGGGTACCCGTCCCGCACGGGGGCCGACAGCACGGCCAACGCCTCCCCCATGATCCTCGCAATGCCTCCTCCTCCTGGCCCTGCTCCTCCTTTCTCCAGAGCGGTGGCAGCGTGCGAAGGCCCTGGGAGCGGGGAGACCGTGGTGGGTGTCTGCGTGCATGGCGAACGCCTCGGGTTCGGGGCGCGCACGCGAAGGTAATGGAGGGATGGGGAGATGAGTAACGGGGAGGGGGAGAGGGTGGGGGGGAGGGGTGGGGGATATGCAGGGAGAGAGAAAAACAGGGAGGGAGGGACGGAATTGAGAAGGGGGAGACAGAGATGGGACAGGGAGGGAGAGATGGGACAGGGAGAGAGACGGGGAGGGGGAGACAAACAGAGAGGGAGGGAAGGAATAGAGAAGGGGGAGACAGAGATGGGACAGGGAGGGAGAGACAGACACACAGGGAGGGAGACAGGGAGGGAGAGACAGACAGGGAGGGAGGGTATAGAGAAGGGGGAGAGAGAGATGGGACAGGGAGTTGGGATATGGAGGTAGTGAGATGGGATGGGGAAACAGAGGAGTGTTTTGTTAATCACTCTACCGAGCTGTGTCCGCCCTCTCCTCTACGAGCCGGGCGCCGGGTGGCTAATGCACAGTGAGGGGGGGGGGATCACGGATGGATGTGCATCTCTGCCGAGCCACCTCAAGTGGTCAACCCACGGCGCCCGGGTCCGCCGCGTGACCTCCTGCGAGCGAGCGTCGCTTCAAAAAGTGCACGTAGCCTGGCACAAACGCCACGGTGACCTCACCGCCACTCGGCGGTAGCCGCTGTTGCGTTCCTGAAGAACACGGCGTTGTGGATAAACCGCGTTACAATAAATACCGTGTGCTGTAGGGGGGCGAAGTCGAGTCCGCGATAACGCCGCGAGATGCGTGCTTGGCTCAGTAGGTGGCACAGGTGGTGCATCGACCAGCCATCTCAGTCAGAGCCAGGTGCCATGGGTCTGTCCCGTGACCTCCTGCCAGTGGGCGTTCGACACTTCACGTGGCCTCAAGGTGCACATGGCCTGGTACAAGCGTTGTGGCGACGTCACCGCCACAGTGGCGAATGGCGGCGGTTGTTGTTGTTGTTATCACTACCCCTTGAGCATTCCGTCAACTCACGCGCACACACACAGCTCCCTACCTCACAGTCGATCCCATATCCTTCACGCGCATCCGGGAACCTCACTCCAAAGTGAAGGGGGCTAACCCAAAGAGCCTACAGATACCCGAGGTTCAAGAAAGCCACTCGTATTAATAAGAGTACTTTTGGGCCCTACTCTTCCACACTTGGTCGCTACCAATGTGCTGGATTAGGTCGGCGTTTAAGGCTCTTACTCCGGCAGCTGAATGAATCAAACCTCTGGGGTGGAAGATCTTTATACCGCTGGCAGTGCAGAGGCGGGGAAATTTTTTAAGATTCTGTTTAACGCACGGCGGTGCTTATTACAATGAATCATTGAGGATTTCCCATTGACCGTACCGGCTTTCAATAATACAGTACGGAAAGTCCTCGCTTAACAATAACCTATTGAAACTGAACTACTCTTATATTTGACCAGGGAAGGCCCCGCTGAGGTATACAAGTCTTTTTCAGGAGTGACCTGGCCACAGATGACAGCTCAACGATTGGCTTATCACACGGACATTTATAGCAGCCGAATACTCTTAAACCACGTGACTTTGATTATAAATGTGGAGGATTTTTCTCCGGAGGACCCAGGGAAAAATCCACACGCCCACGGTGAGAGAGAGACGCAAACTTCAAATACACAGCAGCAGGCGTCAGGGTCGGGGTCGAACCCACGACCTCCTGCACACCAGGCGAGGTAGTTAACATCTCATAGCCACCGTGATGATGATGAGAGAGAGACGCAAACTCCAAATATACAGCAGCAGGTGTCACGGTCGGGATCGAACCCACGACCTCCTGCCTACCAGGCGAGGGAGTTAACATCTCCTAGCCACCAGCCATGGTTAATCCACTGCTGGATGATGAAAACCTCTCCCATTTCTTTTGCACGACGATCCTGCGACGTTTGCGACCTCCCGAACGATTGAATCGACGTGCCAAAGATGCGTGGTGCCACGTGCGCCTTCAGATGGGAAATAACACTACCTGCTCTCTTCGGCGATAAACATCAGCAACGGCAAATACAGGGTGTTCAAAAGAATGTTAACACTTACATGGGACTATCGTTTTTCATGGAAAAAGAACGGATAACACAGTGTGACGTGAAAACATTCCTGCGGAGGGAGCTGGTGGGTTGCTCGGTCAATGGCCTGCAGGGTCAACGGCCAGGGCGTGGTGTATTCCGCAAATATGGCCGACTGTGAGGGCGGGCACAAGCCGGAGTGAGTAGGTTAAACGTTGAGTTTTATAAGGGCACCACGGGGTGACCAGCCCCTCCCCACCCAGCCCCACCCCCCACCTAGCCCCTCCCCACCCAGCCCCACCCAGCCCCACCCCTCCCCACCCTCCCCACCGAGCCCCTCCCCACCCAGCCCCTCCCCACCCTCCCAGCCCCTCCCTCCCCACCCAGCCCCTCCCTGCACGCCGGACGGACACAATAATCCTCTGTGGGCTGATGGAACCAGTGGGTTCCTACCAGTATAACAAATGTGATGTCAGTAGCTTCAGAAAGTCAGAGAGTCTCTCTCACGTGTTTGCCATCGTTGTCAATAGGCCTCGGGCAAGGTAAGGTAAAAGTTAAAATGTAAAAAAAACCTACCTTTACCCTATCTTTTACCTTGCCACAATACAATCACTCTACCCTACCTTTCACCCTTCAGCAGGTAAGGTAAAAAAAAGGTAATGGGTAAAAAGCAACGAGCCTACCTTTTACCCTACCTTTACCCTACCTTTTACCCTTACCGCATACAAATTACCCGATTACAGGGTAATTACTGGGGTACTACTTACTACACATGAACAAGGTTCATAACGGTAAATGCTATAAGGTAGAGCGCTTTATTCATGTAGAATACTCTCCATTATTCCAATTTTACACGCTTGTTGTTGTTGTTGCATCCTAAAATCTTGTAACTCAATTTTAACCCACTTCCCAATGTGGTATCGACTGCAAACTTGGTATACTTATGTCATACTGATGACAATACTATATTCTATCATAAAAAAACAAATATTATTAAACAATATTTTGTATATGTTATGTTTCGGCTTGGGTCTAATTGTCCACGCTCAACTGACGTTGGCTGTAATTGGCCACGGTCCCTTACGTTGTGGCAAACTTCGGGGCCACTTCCTGGAGTCGTGGAGTTCTGCCATCACGAGTACATCTAATAAACTTGTGTTTTTTAAAAAGTTTGTTTTAATATTACTTGTTAAATGGAGGCCACGGACTGCGCCACGGAGCTTCTAGCGGTAAACAAGGCGCCGTATTTACCGGGTAATACCTCGCGCTACCTTTACGCTACCGGGTGATTCTTCCGAGCTACCTTTACCCTGTACCCTTGACCTTACCCCTTGGCATGTCGACATCTTTACCTTGACCCTTTTACCCGCTAAAAGGGTAAATTACCTTCCCTTGCCGAGGCCTACTCCAGAGCCCGGAGGCAGCAACATTTCTCGTGGCTTTGTTGCAAATTCTCAGAAGCGTTAAATACATTTTTATTCTTTGGGACTTTTGGTAAAGCCGCGTAGATAGAAAATAATACTGGTAGGAACCTCCTGGTTACACCAGCCCACAGGGGATTATTGTGTCCGTCCGTCCGTCGTGCAGGGAGGGGCTGGGTGGGGGGAGGGTGGGGCTGGGTGGGGAGGGGGAGGGTGGGGCTGGGTGGGGAGGGGCTGGGTGGGGAGAGGCTGGGTGGGGAGGGGAGGGTGGGGCTGGGTGGGGGGGTAGATGGGGCTGGGAGGGGAGGGTGCGGAGGGGCTGGGTGGGGGGTGGGAGGGGTGGGGCTGGGTGGGGAGGGGGTGGGGCTGGGTGGGGGGGTAGATGGGGCTGGGAGGGGAGGGTGCGGAGGGGCTGGGTGGGGGGTGGGAGGGGTGGGGCTGGGTGGGGAGGGGGTGGGGCTGGGTGGGGAGGGGCTGGTCACCCCGTGGTGCCCTTATAAAACTCAACGTTTCACCTACTCACGCCGGCTTGTGCCCGCCCTCACAGTCGGGAATATTTGCGGAATACACCACGCCGCCGTTGACCCTGCAGGCCATTGACCGTGCAACCCGACGTTCCTACCAGCTCCCTCCGCAGGACAATGTGTTAACAATATCACAACAAGAGTGATCTCAAGAAGAGTGATCTTGTTGTTGTTACCAGACTGTTGAAACAGACTTCAGGGGCGAGTGCTGTGGACGAGTCGCGCCTGTGAAGGCCGGAACGGTAACACGAGGTGGACGGGCAAGCGACCACGCACGGCCGCCTTTATCTCCCCAGTGGCGATGATTGTTGTTATTGTTGTTCCACACTTCGAGCCCGTTCGAGACGCTGCTGGCGGCCGTGAGCGGGAATCGAACTCAGGGCCGGGTTGGTGGCTGAGCGTGTAGCGCGCTAACCGCTGCGCCACCGCTCCCCTCACAGGGCGGAATTCCCCTTAAGGACGTTAAATTTGAGACGATACATCCCAACGACAAAAATTAACTTCTGAACGACTTGTTTGTTTTGTTGTAAGCTACCCGGCACGTGGGCGTGTTGCCGTTTTATTTTTAACGTTTTAAAAGGTTTATTAACGACTTAGAATGACGATTTTTCGCGCGGATTTGACTTACCTACTCGGGCCGCATTGCGAGCGGTGGAGGGAGAGACACGCGGTCGCAGTCGAGTGGCACCAACTCGTTAGTTAATAACCAACTTGACCATTTAGTTTGTTATTGTTTACACCTCGCCTCGAAGGCGTTTTCAAACACAAATTCTGGGACGCTGTAGCCGTGGTAGAAGTGAAACTTGTATTGTTTAAATTGTCATTACGTCGGTGATGTAATAACTAATGAGACTTTTTTTCTAAATCCCTTTTTTTGTTAAACGCTGTCTTTGGTGCTAAATTGATATTCGCACTGTTAAAATGTTGAGCAAATAAAAAAATGTAATTTTAATCTCGAGAAGAAAAACAATAAATAAATTTTAGTCGGAAGTGGAGGGGCACGCGCGCGCCAACTTCCGCTAAATCTACTTGAATTTTCTTTTTTATAACCAATTAAATCGTAATTTGTCCACCCTATTACAATTGTTTTCTCTAAGTGAAGCTCACAAAATTGCGTTGGAAATAATTTTGTTTGAAATTAATTTACCCGAAATATCTAAATTATTCGCATTGAGGCATCTTGGCCTACTACGGTGGCCGCTGAGATCCAAGTCCGCGTTTCGTTATTCCGATCCAATCCACTTCAGCAGGATGCAAAATTCACACAAACAAGGCACATTAAATTTCGATTTAAAGCTTTCGTGACTGCAGGGATTCATCTTCTTGGTTCTTTCGGTAAAGTCACGTAGAAGGGAAGTAATGAAATAATAAAAATAAAAAATCATAAAATAATTCTCACGACGTTTCGGCCACAACACAAGTAGCCGTCCTCATTAACTTTACTTTGAATGCAGTAAGTTTGTTTCAACACATCAAATACATACCATTCATAGTTACAGGGGTATTGCTTTAGTTCCTCGACCTAATTGGCTTTCCGAGCCGAATTCGATCAATATTATTATTATTTATTATCACACAGGATTTGTTTTTAAATGGAATGACAGAGCCGCAGTGAAGCGATGGAACAGACCCAGGGTGACCTCCTCCAGCGAATTACTTCGGCTGGTCGCCAGGGGATGGAGACCATCCATGGAGCAGTGGATAGAGCGTAGCTGCTGCTGCTGATGAAGATAACCAGTGGCCATCATATGCTGACACTGCCAAAACCATGAGAATGTGGACATTGTATACGGGCACACGATCCAGTAGCTCCTCCCACTACTCCGGTAGCTCCTCCCACTACTCCGGTAGCTCCACCCACTACTCAGGTAGCTCCACCCACTACTCAGGTAGCTCCACCCACTACTCAGGTAGCTCCACCCACTACTCAGGTAGCTCCTCCCACTACTCAGGTAGCTCCTCCCACTACTCAGGTAGCTCCTCCCACTACTCAGGTAGCTCCTCCCACTACTCATGTAGCTCCACCCACTACTCAGGTAGCTCCTCCCACTAGTGTGCTGTCGACACGTGAATCACTCTCAAGGTTGACGTCAGTTTTGTAACGATGTGCCGCCAACGTCCACGTCACTTTACCGGTGAAGTGACGTCACTTTACCCGTGAAGTGACGTCACTTTACCCGTGAAGTGACGTCACTTTACCGGTGAAGTGACGTCACTTTACCGGTGAAGTGACGTCACTTTACCGGTGAAGTCTACGTCACTTTACCGGTGAAGTGACGTCACTTTACTGGTGAAGTCACGTGACTTTACCGAAAGAACCAAAGAGAAATCTTTTTTGAGCAAAAAAAACGGGACCCTTTGTCATTTTTGTAACCCCTCTTGTATTTTCTCTCTCCATACAATCTCCTTGATGACGATCGCCTGCGAGAGAAGGCACGGACACATCGAGTCGCGACGCCTTGACACCGCGCGGCAACGGGGAGCGACACCTCTCTGAGATCCATTCAGTCGGTTTGCTCCGAGCCCAGCGGGTCTATTACTCGTACTCTGGGGGTGACATCACCACCAACACCCCACTCCACCACCAACACCCCACTCCCCTCCACCACCACCCCACTCCACCACCACCCCTCCCCCCTCCACCACCACCACCACCCCTCCCCCCCTCCACCACCACCACCCCTCCCCCCTCCACCACCACCACCCCACTCCACCACCACCCCTCCCCCCTCCACCACCACCCCTCCCCCCTCCAACACCACCACCCCACTCCACCACCACCACCACCCCCTCTCCCCTCCACCACCACCACCCCCCTCCACCACCACCCCTCACCCCTCTCCCCCTGGGGGTGGCATCACCACCCCTCCCCCCTCCCCCCCCAAAGGGGGCAGCGCCACCAATGGGGGGGGGGGGGGGCCTTTGTGGGGGGTGCGTGACACGTGCCCACATTGGCTCCAGGTGGTGAACCATCGACGACACAAACTCAGCACGGCCCACGCGAGTTCCACACTTTACTTCTCCGCGTGATTATTAAAAACACAAACTGTTTACGACTGAGAACCAAAGAGCAGTGCCGGATGATCCTAGTAGCACAAGTAGCTACATACATGTAGTAGCTACATGTACTACACGTGTAGTGTAGTATCTACACACATGTAGTAGCTACACACATGTAGTATCTACACATGTAGTAGCTACACACATGTAGTATCTACACACATGTAGTAGCTACATGTACTAGCTACATGAACTACACGTGTAGTAGCTACTACACGTGTAGTAGCTACACACATGTAGTATCTACACACATGTAGTATCTACACACATGTAGTATCTACACATGTAGTAGCTAAATTTCGATTTAAAGCTTTCGTGACTGCAGGGATTCATCTTCTTGGTTCTTTCGGTAAAGTCACGTAGAAGGGAAGTAATAAAATAATAAAATAAAACATAATAAAATAATTCTCACGACGTTTCGGCCACAACGCAAGCAGCCGTCCTCAGGTGAAGACCAGGTCTGTCGGAAAGACAGCGTCTGAATTCAGACCTACTCTTTGTTCATTCAGACGCTGTCTTTCCGACAGACCTGGTCTTCACCTGAGGACGGCTGCTTGCGTTGTGGCCGAAACGTCGTGAGAATTATTTTATTATTTCCCTTCTACGTGACTTTACCGAAAGAACCAAGAAGATGTAGTAGCTACTATACATGCAGTAGCTACTACACGTTTAGTAGCTACTATACATGCATAGTAGCTACTACACGTGTAGTAGCTACTATACATGCATAGTAGCTACTACACGTGTAGTAGCTACTATACATGCAGTAGCTACTACACGTGTAGTAGCTACTATACATGCAGTAGCTACTACACGTGTAGTAGCTACTATACATGCAGTAGCTACTACACGTGTAGTAGCTACTATACATGCAGTAGCTACTACACGTGTAGTAGCTACTATACATGCAGTAGCTACTACACGTGTGTAATGAGAGCGCCACCTCCTGTGTGACATGGGGTGTTGTCTAGGGGAAGGACAGACAGTCCCCAGACTTGTGGTCGCGAAAGCCTCCCACGTGTTCAACTGGTTGAGAAGCTATAATAAGAGTTTTCCCCTTTTTTCTGGCAACAAAACTGAAACCTTTTACAAGGATTCATGTTATTGCATTAACCACAATACTTGTGGTCAAAATGCAAACAAAAAAACACACTGATAGTATACGCATTGTCCTTGAAACTGATTGGTCCACACCAGAGACGGCTTTCTTTTGAGCCTCGTCTCAATGGTGTGGACCAATCAGTTTCAAGGACAATTCATATATTATCAGAGTATTGTTTTCTGTTTGTATTTTGACCACAAGTATTGTGGTTAATGCAAACATTATTCCTCGTAAAAAGGTTTCAGTTTTGTTGCCAGAAAAAAATGGGAAAACCCCTATTATTATATTTTGGTACTGGCAAAGGAGGTCTAATGATGGGTGAGAAGCTTTTAACAACAATGATCACAACGTTTTGTTTAAGTGCACGTTGTTTATTTATTTATTACTGCGGTCCCACTCGAGGTACACGGGTCCTGCCAGCTGCTGGCATTGCGGGTGGCGATGGTGCTGCTGCTGCTGTGGTCTGTAGCCGAGGGGCACCCCCAGTGGCAGCTGACCCTGTGTGTTGCTCTACCAGTCGGGGTGGCGATGTTGCTGCTGCTGCTGTAGTCTGTAGCCGAGGGGCACCCCCAGTAGCAGCTGTCCCTGCGTGTTGCTCTACCAGTCGGGGAGGCGATGGTGCTGCTGCTGCTGCTGCGAGATGCAAGTCGAGGGATTTGTTGCAGGCGATTGTTGAGCAGTGGGGATGTGGTTGTGGCCGATAGCAGATCCACTGTGGGTGTGGGTTGAGCTGTGGGAGGGGAGCGGAGAGCCCGGAGGGAGCTCATGCAGAGCAGGGGGAGAGAACACTCACTCACACTCACTCACTCACCTACCCACTCACCCACTCACTCACCCACTCACCCACTCACTCACCCACCACACTCACTCACTCACACTCACTCACTGTCACCCTCACTCACACTCACAGTCACTCACACTCACAGTCACTCACACTCACAGTCACTCACACTCACAGTCACTCACACTCACAGTCACTCACGATCACTCACACTCACGGTCACCCACGCTCACAGTCACCCACGCTCACAGTCACTCACGATCACTCACACTCACAGTCACTCACACTCACAGTCACTCACACTCACAGTCACTCACACTCACAGTCACTCACACTCACAGTCACTCACGATCACTCACACTCACGGTCACCCACGCTCACAGTCACCCACGCTCACAGTCACTCACACTCACAGTCACTCACACTCACAGTCACAGACACTCACACTCACAGTCACTCACGATCACTCACACTCACGGTCACCCACGCTCACAGTCACCCACGCTCACAGTCACTCACACTCACAGTCACTCACACTCACAGTCACTCACACTCACAGTCACTCACACTCACAGTCACTCACGATCACTCACACTCACGGTCACCCACGCTCACAGTCACCCACACTCACAGTCACTCACACTCACAGTCACTCACACTCACAGTCACTCACACTCACAGTCACTCACACTCACAGTCACTCACAGTCACTCACAGTCACTCACAGTCACTCACAGTCACTCACAGTCACAGTCACTCACGATCACTCACACTCACGGTCACCCACGCTCGCTCGCTCACACACTCTCACACACACTCACACACTCACACACCCACTCACTCACCCACCAAACTCACTCACAGTCACCCTCACCCATCGTCACACTCACCTCTGTGGAACAGGGGTAGAACACACACACCTCACTTCCTCACTCTCTCGCTCTCTCGCTCCAGAGAGAGAGGCGGCCAATTGGGACAAAGCTGCAGGACAGCCTGGGACCCCACCATGGGAACGTGGAATTTCTGCTCGTATCTGGAGAGCGGTGGTGCGGCAGCGGTCAGCGCACTGCGCTACGAACCCGGCGACGATTATCCGAACCGGTCCTGGGCCTTCCCTAGGTCGACTCGGCCTCAAATGAGTAACCTGGTGCGGTGTGTAGTAAACATCGCCGCCACCGGGGAGACAAAGGCGGCCGGGCGTGGCGCTGGCCACCCGGCCCCTCGCGCGCCGTGCCGGCCTTCGTGGGTGCTGCTCGCTAGTGACGGCACTTGGCCCCAATAGTGTCGCAGGTTACACGGGGGAGCTTTGGTTGGGTCACGTGGTGGGGTCACGTGGTGGGGTCATGTGGTGGGACCACGTGGTGGGGTCACGTGGTGGGATCACGTGGTGGGCAGCTCCCATGTCAGCTTCGCAAGACGCAAATCACTGGCCGGCGTGTAGCAAGAGTAGATCAAATCAGGATGTGGTGCGTGTCCGCCCGTGTCTCTCTCTCTCGGTCTATCGAGCGAGGTCACTTCCACCAGCATTGGGACTGGCAAGGAACTTGCAGGGGCTGCGCTTTCGCCCTGAAATCTCAAAGAGATACTGCCTCACCAATGGTTAAATGCAAGGACACACACACAAGTATAAATTAACATTCCTGCATTGCCAACAACAACAACGAAAATACATACACTTCGATACGCCACAGTTAACCGACGAAACAATTATCGTAATGAATCAACGTTATTATGATAATCTCAAGTAAATTGCAGTTCTACAATCTCGTTCTAAGTCGGCGTCGCATTGGCTCAGAGGGCACCGCGTGACTAAAATGCCGGCTCCCGATTGGCCCTGGCGGTGCCCGTAAAAAGTAGCTTCCCTCGCGATATTTAGAATTAGTTTTTATAATAGTAACGACGGACGCCACGATTAGGCTAATTAGGGGAAAACATTTTAAGTAAACAGACGTTTGGCTACTTGCACAAGAAGACTGCATCATTATTGGCGTTAAATAGCTAAAATATTTTAAGGAACTAATGGAGGGTAACCTCCCCCCCCACACAACCCTTCATAGCTAAGTAACGAACATTGGTATCGTCCGTGCATAGGTTTACTGATTAGGACTCAATCATTACTGGAACATTGTGGGGAGGGGGGGGTACTCAAGACTTTTAAAACAAAACCCCCTCTCAATGAGAGACAACAAACTTCACTTACGATTACCCAAAGTGGATTTAAGTTATTGTGGGAAGGATATAAAATCATTGCCTCTACCCCTAGAATATTCATCCATTAAGTTAGTACATCCCACCGAGCAACTCGAGCTAATGAGACTATACCATTAAAATATATGCGACTGGGGGGGGGGGTGGATAATAATTTACACAAAATCCTGGAAGTGAAACTGAATTAAGTTAAAAATCTCCCTTTTCTGCTCAATGGAGTCCACACTTGGCACAGTCTACACTTGGCACGGGCCCGCAATGAACGCCGACCTATTGGGACTGTACCATCGCGGGGGGTGGTTGGGGGTGTTCAGCGCTAGGTGGTGGAGCTTTGAGGTCGAGTGAAAAAGCGGGAGATGCGTTTGGCGCCCAGCTCGTGCCGCGTGACGGAGAGGCGGTGCTGCAGGTCCTGGAGACACGGAGACGCACATGGGGACACACAGAGGGTGACCATCATTGAGCAGTTGGGGGGGGGGTGATAGCAGTTCCACTGTGGGTGTGGGTTTGGCTATGAGAGTGGAAACAGAGAACCCGGGAGGAAACCCGTGCAGAGCAGGGGGAGATAACACACACTCGCACACTCACACAACCATTCACTCACTCTGTAGAACAGGGGGAGATCATACAAACTCACTCACTCACACAACCACTCACTCACTCTGCAGAACAGGGGGAGATCATACAAACTACACACTCACACACTCGCACACTCACACAACCACTCACTCAGTCACTCTGCAGAACAGGGGGAGATCATACAAACTCCACTCACTCGCACACTCACACAACCACTCACTCACTCTGCACAACAGGGGGAGATCATACAAACTCACTCACACACTCACTCATTTTGTAGAACAGGGGTAGAGGACACAAAAACTCCACACACACACACACACAGAGAGAGAAGCAGCGCCCAGTCCGGGAGTGGAACCCAAGCCGGCTTCTCCTCTCGGCCAGCGCCACCGCCGGCCGCCCCGAAGTCGAGGCCTGGTGCCGCCCCCACAAGCCTGACCACTCGCCTGGATCGTGCACTCGGCCTCCACCAGCCGGAGCTTGGAGGCGGCCAACTCGCGCTGCACGACCCCGAGCCGGCTCCTCAACGCGTCTCCATCCTCCTCCTCCTCCACCACCTTGTCCACCACCACCTTGTCCACCACCACCTTGTCCACCACCACCTTGTCCACCACCACCTTGTCCACCACCACCTTGTCCACCACCACCTCGTCCACCTCCTTGTTCAGGGATCCAGCCGAGATGCTCTCTCCCAGCGGCTCCAGCGAGCAGTCACCCTCCACCTCCACCTCCTTCATCTCTTCCTCCTCCACCACCACCTTGTCCACCACCTCCACCACCACCTTGTCCACCACCACCTCCTCCACCTCCTTGTTCAGGGATCCAGCTGAGATGCTCTCTCCCAGCGGCTCCAGCGAGCAGTCACCCTCCACCTCCTCCACCTTCACCTCGTCGCCGCGGGGTTCGAGCGCGACGTCTTCGTCTTCCTGTGGCTCACTCGAGGAGTCTCTCACGACCTCCTCCAGAGCCACCACCTCCACCTCCTCCTCCTCCACCACCTCCTCCTCCTCCAGAGCCACCACCTCCTCCACCACCTCCTCCTCCAGAGTCTCGTGGTGGAGTTCTGCTGGGTCGGAACTGGGCGAGGTCTGGGCCACAGAAAGCTGCTGCCACTGCTGCTGCTGCTGCCGCTGCTTCAGTAAGCCACTGAGCAGGGCTGAGCAACGAGCGCACGCCTGAGATCGACTCTGGACACACAGAGAGGGGGGGGGGGGGCGGGGGGGTTCAGGGTCGCAAACGAACTTCACGGAGCGGTGGATTCCGTCGCTCCATCTCCTTCTCCATGATGGTGGGGGTGGTGGTGGTGGTTGTGGTGGTGGTTGTGGTCCTGGTTGGTGGTGGTGGTGGTTGTGGTTGGTGGTGGTGGTTGTGGTCCTGTTTGGTGGTGGTGGTTGTGGTGGTGGTTGTGGTCCTGGTTGGTGGTGGTTGTTGTGGTTGTGGTTGGTGGTGGTGGTTGTGGTCCTGTTTGGTGGTGGTGGTTGTGGTGGTGGTTGTGGTCCTGGTTGGTGGTGGTGGTGGTTGTGGTTGGTGGTGGTGGTTGTGGTCCTGGTTGGTGGGGGTTGTTGTGGTTGTGGTTGGTGGTGGTGGTTGTGGTCCTGTTTGGTGGTGGTGGTTGTGGTGGTGGTTGTGGTCCTGGTTGGTGGTGGTTGTGGTTGGTGGTTGGTGGTGGTTGGTGGTGGTGGTTGGTGGTTGTGGTGGTGGTTGTTCTCATTTCGGACGTGGCTCCCGCCCCTCCGTCTCCCACAGCGCGACCCTCGCGTTGAGTCAACACACAAAGACAAAGATCCCCCGTGTAGCCTCTAACAGACTGTAGGGGCAAGTGCTGTGTGAGCAGCGCCTATGAAGGCCGGCACTGTGACACACGAGGGGGTGGGTGGCCAGCACCATGCCTGGCTGCCTTTGTCTCCCCAGTGGCGATGTTTACACACAGCACCAGGTACCCATTTTAGGCCGAGTCGACCTAGGGGGAGGCCCAGGACCGGTTCAGATAATCGTCGCCGGTGTTGGCCGCGAGCGGGAATCCAACTCGGGTCGTAGCGCTAACCGCGGCGCCACCGCTCCCCACACAACCGCAACCACCACAGCAGCAGCAGCGCACGGCTCTCTGACGCTCTCCGCACAGTGCTCATTGTTGCTGGCCGCTGGGCGTTGTGTAGGAAGAGAGGGGGCCCCTCACCCGCACGAGGTCCATGCTCCTCCGTCCGTCTTCAGAGAGCTCCTCCAGCTGAGCACTCAGTCTGGAGCTCATCTGTGGACATCATCATCATCATCACCACCATCATCATCACCACCATCACCATCAATCACCATCACCACCATCAGGGCTCGAACCCAGGATCTCAGTGTCTCTGACACGGCCATTGTGAACCCCCTGATAGAGAGACACCCAGACCCAGGGCTCGAACCCAGGATCTCTGTGTCTCTGACACGGCCATCGTGAACCCACTGAGAGAGAGACACCCAGACCCAGGGCTCGAACCCAGGGTCTCAGTGTCTCTGACACGGCCATCGTGAACCCCCTGAGAGAGAGACACCCAGACCCAGGGCTTGAACCCAGGCTCTAGGAGTCACTGGCCGGGCCGTGGTGACCGCGAGGAGTGAGCACCTGCTTGTGGGTGGCGATGGCGTCGTGGTTGGCGACGGTCGCTCGCTCCACGCTGCTCAACTCCCTCCTGCACACCTCCTTCAGCTGCGGGGCCGGAGAGACGGGCAGGGGGGGGGGGGGGTTGGATGCACGCGGTGTGAAGGTCTGGAGTGAAGGGGTCACCTACGTGCCCCCCCTCCTGCGTCTCCCCCCGCGTCCCCTCCCCCTCATGTCCTCCCCGTGTCTCCTCCATGTCTCCCCCCGCGTCTCCTCCATGTCTCCCCCCGCGTCTCCCCCAGTGTCTCCCTCCGTGTCTCCCCCCGTGTCTCCCCCCGTGTCTCCCCCCGTGTCCCTCCCAGTGTCCCTCACCCCGCGTCTCCCCCGCGTCTCCCCCCATGTCCCCCCCGTGTCCCTCCCCCCACGTCTCCCCCCACGTCTCCCCCGTGTCACTCCCCCCACGTCTCCCCCGTGTCCCTCCCCCCGCGTCTCCCCCCGTGTCCCTCCCCCCGTGTCTCCCCCGTGTCACTCCCCCCGTGTCTCCCCCCGCATGTCTCCCCCGTGTCCCTCCCCCCGTGTCTCCCCACCAACCTGCGTTGTCTCCGTGTCTGCGCGTCTCTTCTCCTCCTCCGTCTCCTTGAGTCTCACACCCAACAGCTGCAGCTGCTGAGTCAGCAATTCCACCCGGCTCTCCACCTTGGGGGGGAGACACGGGGGGAGACACGGGGGGAGACACGGTGAGACGCGGGGGTGAGACGCGGGGGAGACGCGGGGGGGGGGGGGGAGACGCGGGGGAGAGACGCGTGTGATAAACAAGGCACGAAGACACCCCATGCGCGATGGTTGGTGATTTGGTGAGTGGTGGGTGACTGGGTGGGTGAGTGACTAAGCCAGCAGCGAGTGGCGGGGTGAGAGTGACTGGCTGGGTGAATGGGGCGTAATAGCTCGGTGAGCTGAGCGAGTGGCTGGGCGAGTAGGTGAGCTAGTAGGCGGGTGAGTAGGCGGGTTGGTAGGTGAGTAGTTAAGCGAGGTGGTGAGAGAGTAGATGGGTAGGAAAGCGAGTAGGTGAGCGAGTAGGTGAGTCGTTGAGCGAATAGGTGAGTGAGAAGGTGAGCAAAGTAGTGAGCGAGGTGGTGAGCAAGGTGGTGAGTGAGAAGGTGAGCGAGGTGGTGAGTAGGTGAGTGATGTGGTGAGTGAGGTGGTGAGTGAGTAGGTGAGTGATGTGGTGAGCGAGGTGGTGAGTGAGTAGGTGAGCGGGTAGGTGAGCGGGTAGGTGAGTAGGTGAGTGGGTGAGTGAGAAGGTGAGCGAGGTGGTGAGTAGGTGAGTGATGTGGTGAGTGAGGTGGTGAGTGAGTAGGTGAGTGATGTGGTGAGTGTGGTGGTGAGTGAGTAGGTGAGTGATGTGGTGAGCGTGGTGGTGAGTGAGTAGGTGAGTGGGTGAGTGATGTGGTGAGCGAGGTGGTGAGTGAGTAGGTGAGCGGGTAGGTGAGTGAGGTGGTGAGCGAGGTGGTGAGCGAGTAGGTGAGCGATGTGGTGAGCGAGGTGGTGAGTGAGTAGGTGAGCGGGTAGGTGAGTGAGGTGGTGAGCGTCACCAGGTCGAGCTGGGCCCGCAGTGAGGCCTTGTCGCGCAGGATCTGCCGGGCGAGGTCGTCGTTCTCCTGCTCCAGGCGCAGGTTCAGCGCAGAGAGGCGCAGAGCCGACTCCTGGCGCACGTCAACAACAACAACAACGTCAACAATGTCAACATCGTCAACGACATATATGTCAACAACAACATTGCCAACAACGTCGTCAACTGTTTCAACAACGTCAATGACATAAACGTCGTCAACAACAACGTCAACAACATTGCGAGAGACGCCCTAGGGCCTGAGCCCCAGGCCCCCGGCGGTGCTGGCCGACCCCGGCGGCGGCCCCCACCTCCACGTGCCCCACCTCGATGTGCCCCACCACCTCCACGTGCCCCACCTCCACGTGCCCCACCTCCCCGTGCCCCACCTCCACGTGCCCCACCTCCACGTGCCCCACCTCCACGTGCCCCACCTCCACGTGCCCCACCTCCACGTGCCCCACCTCTATGTGCCCCAGGCTGGCCGGCTCGCCGTGGGGTCCCAGCGGGACGTCCTCCGGCGCCGTGGAGTGGGGGGCCCTGGCAGCAATCACCTGGGGGGGGGGGGGGGAGGGGCAGGGGTTGGAGGAGTACGACGTGAAGGTTTGGAGTGAAGGGATCACCCCACGTGTCTCCCTCCCCATGTGTCCCTCCCAGCGTCTCCCTCCCAGCGTCTCCCTCCCCCGTCTCCCCCCGTCTCCCCCGTCAGCGTCTGGTCCCCGCCTCACCGCGAGTCTCCCCGCCGTGAGGGCGCGTTGCAGGTCGCGGTCTTCATCCTCCTCCTGGACGAGGCTGCCCAACAGGTGGGCGTCGTACGCCTCCACGATGGACACCTCGGTCATCATCGTGCCCGCCCAGGCGCGCGGGAGGGTCGCACGCGGTGACGAGGACGATGCACCCACCCTCCTGTAGCGTTCACGCGCACACACACACACACACCTGTACACACACACACACACCTGTACAAACACTCACACACACACCTGTACACACACACACACACCTGTACACACACACACACCTGTACAAACACTCACACCTACACCTGTACACACACACACACCTGTACAAACACTCACACACACACCTGTACACACACACACACACACCTGTACAAACACTCACACCTACACCTGTACAAACACCTGTACAAACACACCTACACCTGTACAAACACACCTGTACAAACACTCACACCTACACCTGTACAAACACTCACACCTACACCTGTACAAACACACCTGTACAAACACTCACACCTACACCTGTACAAACACACCTGTACAAACACTCACACCTACACCTGTACAAACACACCTGTACAAACACTCACACCTACACACACACCTGTACAAACACTCACACCTACAAACACACCTGTACAAACACTCACACCTACAAACACACCTGTACAAACACTCACACCTGTACACACGTGTACACACACACCTACCTGTATACACACACCTGTACACACACACACGTGTACACACACACCTACCTGTATACACACACACACACCTGTACAAACACACGTACACACACCTGCACACACACACACCTGTACAATCTACTGTAAACTCTCACACCTGTACGATCACACAACAACAACAACAACAACCGCCATTCGCCACTAAGTGGCGGTAATGTCACCACGACGCTTGTGCCAGGCTAGGTCCACGTTAATGCCACGTGAAGTGTCGAACGCCCGCCGGCAGGAGGTCACGGGAAAGACCCAGGTGCCACGAGTCTGACTGAGATGACCGAGATGATTGGCTGATGCACCACCTGTGCCCCTACTGTGCCAACTTGCTGTGTTTTAGCCACCCGGCGCTCCGCTCGTTGTTGTGAGCGTCGCTCCTCCGCCCTCCGTTGTTGTTGGAGGGCGACTGCCTCCAATTGCCCAGTAGCGTCCTTCACGAGCCTCCTCCACAGAGGCCGATCTTGACACCGCTGGTACCAGTCATCGGCAAGTCCACTCAGCTCCACGTCCTCCTGTACCACATCACTCCATCTCTTCTCTAGCCCGTGCCGCGCATGTTTAGCCCCCTCGATCCGGCCGAACAAAAGCTGTTTAGGCATGCGGTGGCTGGGCATGCGGGCTACATGACCCAGCCAACGCACCTACCCACTCACACACACACACACCTGTACACTCACACACCTGTACACACCAACACACGTGTACACACTCCCAAACACACTCACACAAGTGTACACACTCACCTCTACACACACACACACCTGTACACTCACACTCATCTCTAGACACACACACGTGTGCACACTCACCTCTAGACACACACACACCTGTACACTCACACTCACCTCTAGACACACACACGTGTGTACACTCACCTCTACACACACACACACGTGTGCACACTCACCCTGTATACTGTCAAGACAAACATCCCCAGGGTAGCCTGTAACAGACTGTTGGGGCAAGTGCTGTTATTGAGCGCCTATGAAGGCCGGCACTGCGGCACACGAGGAAGTGGGTGGCCAGCACCACGCCCGGCCACAAACACGCAGGCAGGCAGGCACGTGCACACGCAGGCACATAGGCACGCAGTCACGCGCACACACACGCAGGCACACAGGCACGCAGTCACGCGCACACACGCACACACGCACGTACACACGCAGGCACACAGGCACGCAGGCACGCGCACACACGCAGGCACGCGCACGAGCTACCGGTTCACAATGACCGTGTCGGGGAAGGCGAGCGAGAGATGCCGAGAGCCTGGGCTGCAGTCCGGGTGTCGACCGCACAGCCACAGGGAGTACAACGCTGACTCATAGCATAGACTCACTCAGAGAGCCATAGACTCACTCGGAGAGCCATAGACTCACTCAGAGAGCCATAGACTCACACAGAGAATCATAGACTCAGACTCACTCAGAGAGCCATAGACTCACTCGGAGAGCCATAGACTCACTCGGAGAGCCATAGACTCACTCGGAGAGCCATAGACTCACTCGGAGAGCCAGACTCACTCAGAGAGCCATAGACTCACTCAGAGAGCCATAGACTCACACAGAGAGCCATAGACTCACACAGAGAGCCATAGACTCACTCGGAGAGCCATAGACTCACTCAGAGCCATAGACTCACACAGAGATTCATAGACTCACTCAGAGCCATAGACTCACACAGAGAATCATAGACTCACACAGAGAATCATAGACTCACACAGAGAGCCACGGACTCGCACGTAGACCCACGGACTCGCACGGAGATCCACAGACTCACACAAGAGACCCACAGACCCACAGAGACCCACGGACTCGCAGAGACTCACGGACTCACAGAAACCCACGGCCTCGCACAGAGACCCACGGACTCACACGGAGACCCACGGACTCACGGAGACCCACGGACTCAGAGACCCACGGACTCACAGAGACCCACAGACTCACACGGAGACCCACGGACACCCACAGAGACCCACGGACTCACAGAGACCCACAGACTCACACAGAAACCCACGGAATCACACAGAGACCCACAGACTCGCATAGAGACCCACGGACTCACAGAGACCCACAGAGACCCACGGACTCGCACGGAGACCCACGGACTCACAGAGACCCACGGACTCAGAGACCCACGGAGACCCACGGACTCACACGGAGACCCACGGACTCGCACGGAGACCCACCGACTCACAGAGACCCACGGACTCACAGAGACCCACGGACTCACACAGAGACCCACGGAGATCCACGGACTCGCACGGAGACCCACGGAGACCCACAGAGACCCACGGACTCACACAGAGACCCACGAAGACCCACGGACTCACAGAGACCCACGGACTCACACAGAGACCCACGGACTCACACGGAGACCCACGAAGACCCACGGAGACCCACGGACTCACTGCCGACCGGCATCAGAGCGCTCCGCACGCGCCACGTGACGAGGTGTCGTCCTGCGGAGCGGCGCGTCACATCTGTGGCCGCCTCGACAGGTCAACGTCGCCTTCCTCCATTGCGTACTTCCTCTGTGGTGGCCACCACGAGGAGTGGGAGGGTAGGAGGTCTGGCCCTCCCCTAGGTTGACGCAGCCTTAAGATGATAACGCGTGGCTGGGGTGCGCGGTTGGTGGGGGCGGTGGGCACGTCGGGCACTTGAGGGGGTGGGGGAGAGACAAAGGCGGCCGGGTGACGTGGTTTCTGGTTTCTGAACCAAGTCTCCTCTGACCCCCCCCCACCCCTTCCCCGTGTGGACCGTGACGCTTTTTATTTGAAATGACGTCTTTGATGACTGTAATCAATACAAATTAACCCGTAAAAACAAAGTTTTTCACTATGAATCCTTTATATGCGCGGCATCGGTTTTATTTTATTATTTATTTCTGTTTTTCTTGAGTAAGAGTTTCATTTTTATCACATTGGTATTTTAAATTAAATATTAAAAAAAAATTCCTAAAAAGTGGAAAATTGTGGATTTTTTTTCACGAAAATAAATTGTCACGCACAACGAGTCTATGTGCAAAATTTCAGCTCGATTGGGTTAAAAACGACCGAAAGATTTGCACGGTCGTAAGCGCGCAAGCAAGCAAGTGAACTTAATATAAAGGATTTAAAAATAAAAACGCTCTACGTTTTCGAGTGCGTGTTAGAGTCGACGCAAAGTGCAGGCCAGCGCACGCGCCGTGGTATAAACTAAACAACTTGTTTCGTAGTTACAAGGCAGGGCCCCAGCTGCCGTGGAGGTCTCTGTCAGAAGCGACGTGGCCACCACAAGCAGCTCAACCAAGAGGCCGATACCACCATCATCATCGTCATCATCGTCATCATCATCGTCGTCGTCATCTTCATCGTGGACAGCTATAGCAGCAGCCAAACAGTCTAAGCGATCGGTGGCAATGTTGACTCTCGATGTGGAGGGAGAAAATCCGGAGGACCCGGAGACTAAATCCACGCGACCACGGGGAGAGAGAGAGACGCAAACTCCAAATATACAGCAGAAGCAGCAGGCGTCAGGGTCGGGGTCGAACCCACGACCTCCTGTAGACCAGGCGAGGTAGTCAACATCTCATAGCCGCCGTGATGATGATGATGAGAGAGAGGCACAAACTCTGGATATACAGCAGCAGGCGATCGGGTCGGGGTCGAACCCACGACCTCCTGTATACCAGGCGAGGTGGTCAACATCTCCTGGCCACCGTGATGATGATGAGAGAGACACACAAACTCCAAATATACAGCAGGCGTCAGGGGTCGGTATTGAACCCACGACCTCCTGCACACCAGGCGAGGTAGTCAACATCTCCTGGCCACCGTGGCGCCCCTCTGTACATCACGCTCGACCGTGTCCACGTGCGGTATGTGCACACACACCCACACACACACACACTCACCTTCACACACCTACACCCACACACACCTACACACACACCCACACACACGCGCCTACATACACACACACCTACACTCACTCACCTGTACACTCACTCACCTGTACACACACACACCTGTAAACACACACCTGCCCACTCACTCACCTGTACACTCACTCACCTGCCCACTCACTCACCTGCCCACTCACCTGCCCACTCACCTGTATACTAACCTGCCCACTCACCTGTACACTAACCTGCCCACTCACTCACCTGTACACTCACCCGTACACTCACTCCCCTACACACACACACACCTACACAAACTCACCTGTACACTCACTCACCTGTACACTCACTCACCTGCCCACTCACTCACCTGCCCACTCACCTGTATACTAACCTGCCCACTCACTCACCTGTACACTCACCCGTACACTCACTCCCCTACACACACACACACACACCTACACAAACTCACCTGCACACTCACTAACCTGCCCACTCACTCACCTGCCCACTCACTCACCTGCCCACTCACTCACCTGCCCACTCACTCACCTGCCCACTCACTCACCTGCCCACTCACTCACCTGCCCACTCACTCACCTGCCCACTCACTCACCTGTACACTCACACACCTGCCCACTCACTCACCTGCCCACTCACTCACCTGTACACTCACACACCTGCCCACTCACTCACCTGCACACTCACACACCTGTACACTCACACACCTGCCTACTCACTCACCTGTACACTCACACACCTGCCTACTCACTCACCTGTACACACACACACCACTCACCTCGTGTACAAAGTCACCTTGTGTAGTGTCAAAACAAAGGCAGAAACCCCCCGTGTATCCTGTAACAGACTGCAGGGGGCTGTGAGCGAGTAGCAGCAGCACCTGTGAAGGCTGCCGGCGCTGTGGCACACGAGGGGGTGGGTGGCCAGCACCACGCCCGGCCGCCTTTGTCTCCCCATTGGCGATGTTCAGACACCGCACCACTATACCACTACACCAGTACATTCACCCACCCACACACACTCATCATGTAAAACACACACCTACATACACACTCACCTGTACACACCTATACACTGTACTCACTGCTACATACACACCTACACACACACACCTGTACACTAACCTGTACACTCACCTATACACACACACACCTACACACATACCTGTACATAAACACACCTGTACACTCACCTATACACACACACACACCTACACACATACCTGTACATAAACACACCTGTACACTCACCTATACACACACCTACACACATACCTGTACATAAACACACCTGTACACTCACCTATACACACACACCTACACACATACCTGTACATAAACACACCTGTACACTCACCTATACACACACACCTACACACATACCTGTACATAAACACACCTGTACACTCACCTATACACACACACACCTACACACATACCTGTACATAAACACACCTGTACACTCACCTATACACACACTCACCTATACATAAACACACCTGTGCACTCACCTATACACACACACTCACCTATACATAAACACACCTGTGCACTCACCTATACAATGTTCTCACTACTATACACACACCTCTCTACATACATACACACACCTACATACATACACTCACCTGTACATAAACACAACTGTACTCACTGCTACATACACACCTACACACACACATACACCTACACACACACATACACCTGTACATAAACACACCTGTACTCACCTATGCAATGGACTCACTACTATACACATACAAACATACACACATACACACACTCACCTGTACAACCCACACACCTTTACACTCACCCATCCATACCATATAAACACACACCTGTACACACACCTGTACACACACCTGTACACACACCTGTACACACACCTGTACACACGCATCATGTAAAACAGACCTGTACACACACACACTCACCTACACACTGTACTCACTGCTACAGACACACTCACCTACACACACACACCTACACACACACACTCACTTGTACCACCTGTACACTCACCTGATGTACACCTACACACACACACCTACACACATACACACACCTACATATACACACACCTACACAACTACACACAGACACCTGTACACACCTACATATACACACACCTGTACACACACACACACCTGTACACACTCACCTGATGCACACCGAGATACGCGACCGAGGCCGATCTCATCGGAACACCACAAATCGATTCCCCGTCTTCTCTCCCCAGTTCCGGGGGGGGCGGTGGTGGTGGTGTGTGGTGTGTGGGGGGAGGAGGAGGTCGCTTTAAGAGCGGCTGAGCAGGACTTTCCGCATTCCTATCGTGCTTAGAAAATATAAATTAAAAATACCCAGAGCCCGCCTTTAAATCGTAGCCGCAAATTAAGTCGCACGCACTGCGCGCGAATTGGCCGTCAAACACCCCCTGGGCGCCGCCTCAAGTGGTACGGTCGGCCCATTGAAATGAATGGGCGACTCGGGCGAATCCATTCGCGTGAGAGGGGGGGGGGTAAAGTACCCAGTTCAATTAAATCCGTGACAACGCAAAGCACCTCCGAGGTGCTTACTAACAACACCCCCATGCCTGGGTGTTGCTCGTTAGTGGTACGGTCCGAATTGAGCGACTTGGGCGGATGTATTCGAGTTAGAAGGGTAGGAAGGTGGGGGTCTAAGCACCCAGATCATTTAAATCCATAACATATAGACGACATGTAAAGATAAAAACACCCCGTGTGAGATAAAAAAACACCCCTGTCTCGTGTCATATATGGTACGGTCTGCCCGTAGAAACTAATAGGCGACTTGGGCGAATCCATGCGCGTTAGAGGGGGGCTCAGGGTGGGGTCTAAGAAGCTGATAAAAGTCTCTCATCAACCAAAGATGATGGATCCTTGAAGTCACGAAAACTTCAAATCGATAATTGATAAAAGTCTGTTGAAAAAAAATCTGGAACGTATTATTTATATTTCATCACACCCCTGTGCCGTGTGATAATGGCACGGTCCGGTCATTGAAACTAATGAGCGACTTGGACGAATCCATTTAATTTAGAGAGGGGGGCAGGGGGGGGGGGGCTTAAGTTTTCAGTTCATTTCAATCCGTGACAAAAACCCACTCACCCTGCAACGTGAATAAAAACCCCTACGCGGTGCCGCAGTGGTACGCTCCGCCATATGAATGAATGTCACATGGACTGGTCCAAATACACACTCTGAGTTCTTTCGGTAAAAGTCACCATGGAGGTAAAAAATGAAGTAAAAATTAATAAAAATAAAACAATAAAAATCACGACGTTTCGGAGGCAACACAAGCTTCCGTCTTCAGGTGAAACCGTCACAGGAAAATATCTGTACCTTATATAGTGGTTAAGGTACAGATATTTTGCTGTGACGGTTTCACCTGAAGATGGAAGCTTGTGTTGTCTCCGAAACGTCGTGATTTTATATTTTAATTTCATTTTTTACCTACACGGTGACTCTACCGAAAGAACTAAGAGTATGAATCCTTGCAGTCACGAAAGCTTCAAATCTAGAATTGATCCAAATTCGTTAGAGGGGGGGGGGGGGGTAAGTAAATAACTGCACGTTAAAACCACCCCCCTTTGAATGTCAATAATGGTATGACCCACGGGTTGCGACCGGGTTGACGTGAACGGACTTGGACCAATCCATTCCTGAGCGGGTGCACGAAGTCCCAAGTCCACTTTCGATCTGACAATAAAACAACCCCCACACAACACGTGCAAAGGTTGATATTAAACACCCACCCCCCTCTTCTCGGTGTCACGATGGTACGGTCCGGACGTTGAAATGAATGCGACACTTGGGGACTGATCCATTCGCGAATTTAATGCCAAAATCAGACTAAACCATTGCACCGCAATAATAGGGATGCTGTCAAATTCAAATCGCCTTCATTACATTAACGTAACGATGCATGGATAAACCAATCATCACGTTGTGAAGTGACTCACGCAGCCAGCTATGGCTGCAGGGTTTGGTAGTACAAGTTGTTTAGGTCGTATACTGTGAAGTTTCGATCCACAGTTCCTATGATCACTGTTACATTGCTTTTATGGCTTTATTTTGGTTTGGCCATGTTTGTGTTGTTGTAGTACGGAGTTAGACTGATGGCTTTAATCTAAGTTGTCTTGTGGTTGTTGTTGTTTGACTTGCATCTCACTAGGATGTTTGCCCAGCGTTGGTGTACGGTGATTTTTCTGAAAAACTTTGCAGTTTTTTACTGAATTTTTCCGTTTGTGCATTGTCACAGTCACTTTAAGATGTTTTCTTGTTTTTGTGTTTTGTTTGTTGCGGTTGCACCCGATTCAAGAGCCGAATGGCTCACATGGCGACATCTAATACATGAAACTGAAAATCACAGTTTTAGATCTGGACAGTTTCTGGGATCACCACCACCACTAACCACACAAACGCAGTCCAGGTGCTACAATAGTGGCGAGTTTGGAGGGCAGGACAACCCCACTGTTGTACCGCACTTCTATGCGACCCGCAATATGACCAGCGTGGTGAAGTATGGTCAAATGATAACCGCCGCTCCCTCTTCAAATCTTTCTTCTGTTTGCCTCGAGGCGCTGTTCTCTGCTGCTCGTGAGGCCGCGGCCAGCGAGGAGGAGGCTGCTGCCATCAGAGCCGTGTTGGTCGTTTGCGTGTCCACCACAAGCACTCTGTGTGTGTCACACTGTGTGACACTGTCACTCTCTGTGCGTGTCACACTGTGTCACACTGTGTGTCACACTGTGTGTCACACACACACAACAACCGCCATTCGCCACTAAGTGGCGGTGACGTCACCACGACGCTTGTGCCAGGCCATGTGCACCTTGAGGCCACGTGAAGTGTTGAACGCCCGCTGGCAGGTCACGGGGCAGACCCAGCAGGTGCCACGGGTCGACTGAGATGACCGAGATTACTGGCTGATGCACCACCTGTGCCCCCTACTGTACCAACTTGCTGTGCTTTAGCCACCCGGCGCTCCGCTCGTTGTTGTGAGCGTCGCTCCTCCGCCCTCCGTTGTTGGAGGGCGACTGCCTCAACTGCCCAGTAGCGTCCTTCACGAGCCTCCTCCACAGAGGCCGATCTTGACACCGCTGGTACCAGTCATCGGCAAGTCCACTCAGCTCCACGTCCTCCTGTACCACATCACTCCATCTCTTCTCGAGCCCGTGCCGCGCCCGTTTAGCCCCCTCGATCCGGCCGAACAAAAGCTGTTTAGGCATGTGGTGGCTGGGCATGCGGGCTACATGACCCAGCCAACGCAGCCTTGCCTGCCGGAGGAGCTCACCGATGGGACTTTGCCCAGATCTTTCAAGGATTTGTGAGCTCCTCACACAATCCAGCCTGTAGGTTAAACCCAGGATGGATCGTAGGCAGGCCAGCCTCAATGTTTCTAACTGGCAAAGATGTTCCATTAGGGGGGTCCACAACAGACACACGCAAGACAAACAACCCCCCCCCCCCCCCCACGTGTCGCTCTCAACAAGACGGACTCGACAACGATGAGCATCGCGTCCCGTTGTTATTGAACCGCGAGGACATTCCTCACTGTTCACTTCGCCAGGTGAGAGGCTCCGTTCACATCCACCCCAGCGTCCTCTCTTCAACCAGCCGGATGTAACAAGCCTGGGAGAGTCGGCTCGAAGTGAACTTGTAAGGCGCCAGCAACAGGTCCACTGCGACCTTCTTTATTCAACCAAACAAGAAAAACAACTCATCGGGACACTCACCACCACCACCACCACGTATCCTACACCACGCCAGAGTCCGCCGAGAGCAAACTCATCGTCGCTCTTTGAACTCACCCACTCGCTCACCCGCTCATGGACTCACCCACTCACCTACCCACTCACCTACCCACTCACTCACCCACTCGCTCACTCACATCGCTCACTCACTCACCGACCCACGCACTCACCCGCTCACCTACCCAGCCATTCGTTAACCCTCTCACTCACCCACCCAAATGAGCCTCCCTCTCTCCTGGTCTCTCTCTCGAGTTCTCGCTACGCTACACACACTCAACCCCTACCCTCCATTTACCCTTCGTGCCTGTCTGTCTGTCTCCGTGCCCCCCACTCTGTCCGTGGTGGTTGTGGTGGTGATAGTGGTGGTAGCGGTGTTGTTGGTGGTAGTGGTGGTCGTGTTGGTGGTAGTGGTGGTAGCGGTGTTGTTGTTAGTGGTAGTGGTGGTGGTGATAGTGGTGGTAGTGGTGATAGTAGTGATAGTGGTGGTAGTGGTGGTCGTGTTGGTGGTAGTGGTGGTAGCAGTGTTGTTGTTAGTGGTAGTAGTGGTAGTAGTGGTGGTCGTGTTGGTGGTAGTGGTATTGTTGTTGGTGGTGGTCGTGTTGGTGGTAGTGGTGGTAGCGGTGTTGTTGTTGGAAATCACAACCGTCCCTACAGTCCGCCCCCCCTGCCCCCCCCTGCCCCCCCCCTGCCCCCCCCCCCCCCCGCTAGACGGCGTCCCCAGGCAGCACGCGTCCGCGCTTGCGCGCCTGCTGCCGCTTGCGCTCGGCGCGGCCGCGGCGCTTTTCGGCGACGTTGCCGTCGCGCCGCTGCTGCCGCCGGCTCTGCCGCTGGCTCAGCTCCCCGGCACGAGCCTCCCAGCGCCGCTGCCGCGCCGCCTTCAACTTCTGCTGGCGCTTCAGCGCCGAGCGCAAGCGCACCGGGTCCTCCTTGAGCTTCACTCCCTGGGGGGGGGGGGGGGGGGGCGGGGAGAGGTGGAGATGTTGATGTTGGTGTTAAACGTTGGGGTTCATGTTGGTGATGATGATGGCGATGCTGACGATGATGTTGGCGATGATGTTGGCGTTAAACGTTGCTGTTGATGTTGGCGTTGATGGCGATGCTGGGGTTGATTTTGGTGATGATGTTGGTGCTGATGTTGGTGATGATGTTGGTGATGATGTTGGTGATGATGCTGGCGTTAAACGTTGGTGTTGATGTTGGTGATGATGTTGGTGCTGATGTTGGTGATGATGTTGGTGATGATGCTGGTGATAATGTTGGCGTTAAACGTTGGTGTTGATTTTGGTGATGATGTTGGTGCTGATGTTGGTGATGATGTTGGTGATGATGCTAGTGATAATGTTGGCGTTAAACGTTGGTGTTGATGTTGGCGTTGATGGCGATGCTGGGGTTGATGTTGGTGATGATGTTGGTGATGATGTTGGCGATGATGCTGGTGATGATGTTGGCGTTAAACGTTGGTGCTGATGTTGGCGTTGATGGCGATGCTGGGGTTGATGTTGGCGTTGATGTTGGCGATGATGCTGGCGTTGATGGTGATGTTGGCGT